TGAGGACACCTAATAAGACACAACACCTTTTCTTCCCCCAACAACAGTTTTCTGCTTAGCCAGCCAAACTGTCCGCCCCTAATACGGCCCTTCATCTGTCCCATTTGGTCCAGATTATAGGGTCTCCACTTATGTCTGTACAAGCCCGAAAAGGAAGGCCGCACGGAGCGTAAAAGCTTCAACATATATGAGACAGGCAGGTCAGACAGCCGACGTGCAGGCGGGCAGGCATTGCAGACGCAGACAGACATACGGCAGGCAACAGACAGACAGTACTTGCAGTATCATTCATTGGTCCGTGTGAAATGTCTGTAACAACAGGCTGGTCCTCACGTCCAGCCTCGAATCCATGAGACGAGATAAGTGTCCGCCCTTGTTATTGAGATGACCAGCGTTGGAAAGAACTGTTCTTAGTGGTGAAATAGTTTGTCCTCTTTCAAGTTGTCCCTTAAGAGGGGTTCCAACTCGTGTGTGTACAACCCATGCAGGTGCTGGCTGAGGGCCATGGGGGGATGAGGCGGGTTTCTATTTGAGGCTGAGTTCTGGTTTGAGTACGAGAAGATCGGTGAGATTTGATCTGGGGTCGGAGAGGTCATCTATAATGTAAAAAAGGTCAGACAGAGGGAGGGAAGGTCTTTTTGTGGACGTCTGTTCTAGTAAGACCAGATTGGGAACCCACTGCCCTACTCTAATGCTAACTGGTCTGTTCTATTTTCTTCGCTGCCTCTCACTAGCTTGTCTAGAGCAAATGTCGTGTACCTGGCAAGCTGGTAGCAAGCCAGCATGGGTTTGTAGTTGTCCCTGGTTATTTCAACCAGGCTTGACATTATCTACATGGGACTCCTCTAATCAGCTATCCATGTTGAGAGTGTCCATCTTGTGAGGGTTTCCTCATTGCAGGATTAAGGATCCTTTTTTCTTGGGGAAATGAAAAGGTGTCCTTATTAAGTGGTGCCTCTTTTATAGGTGTCCTTAGAGGGAGTTCCACAGTGTTTGAAGTTCAATGTCTAGAGTTTTGTGAGGCAGCAAACGTGTCTCTGGCTCTCATGTGTCATATGAGGTTCAGTGTTTGGTTGAGCTTAACCAGCCCATGCACGGTGCGCCTCTCATACCACAGCAGGTGTTTGACTTACTTTTTACACTGTGCCCCTCTGTTGTGATTTTGCACTGCCTCTGCTCCTAGTCACCACCCTGGATCTACAGTCCTCGTTTTTTCCCTGTAAAGGCGAGCACAGACTATCTTCTCTATGCAGGATTTTTCTCCACTATACCGTATTAAATATGCGGAAATCGAAATATGTGAACTTAAACCGACAGAACGGATCCTGAGCGCACAAATGACTCCAGCGTTGCAAAAAGTGCTATGATGAAAAATCTTTCTCACGTTCTCATACTCTCTCTGTCTGTGCAGGTAGATGAAGGCTGGTGTGAGGGCACAAGTTGAACGAAAAGATAGGAATGTTCCAGACAGCTTGGTCAGTTACGCCAGTCACTACTGCCTGCTGCTGCTGTCGTACCCAGCCACCAAGGCCACTCGACCCCTAGACCCAGCTTCCCAGTCAACCCTCCGATCATGCCAGATCAGCAGTCTCTCTCTCCCTCTCCCCCCTATCCGCAATGATTACAAGAATTAAAACACCTCTGAAAGACACTTGGAATAACAACCTTCGACCAACAGACACCTTTGAAGAGATGCTCTCCATGCCCAAGGGTCCCTTAGTCAGAGGTTTCAGGTACTGATGTGTGACACTGTCTGTCTTTACAAGCAGCTACATTACTACTGCCCCACCCCCTCTCTCCCTCTCTCCCTGTCCTGTGTGCAGGTCAGCGTGACAAGACAGAAGACGCTAAGGTCCTTCAGCTATGCTGCTGAGAATACTGACGACTGGTCACTAATGCCTGGCCCAGGAGTTAACGGATGGAGGAAAGCTTTCCTCGCCCCTCTTCTTCTGTTCCGTTTTGTTTTTATTTGTACGTTGTAGGGCACATTGACAGTATTGTGTGGGAGAGGGGGGGAGATCAAGCCAGAGTGATGGGGAGTCAGGGAGCCAAGGGGGGAGGGTATACGGGAGGGGGAGGGAGATGGGGTGGGGAGCTAGGAGGGAGGGAGATGGGGGGAGGAGAGGAGAGAGAGGAAGGGGAGAGAGCAGGTTAGGGGAAAGAAGGAGAGTCTTTGCTCTTTCTTGCAGTTCTTTACTCTTTGCTTCGTCATTTATGATTATCCTTGTTATGTTGAGCATTTAAGAGGGCCAGGGGGCAAGGGGGAGGAGGAGGGCTGTTGTCAGAGGGGTGGGGGGCTGTATTTTTACACTTACATTTATTTATTTTATTTTGTTATCCTCTCCTGGGACGGGTTTGTGAGCCGCACCTTTGGCCATCAAGATTCGTTGATCCTTCTTGGTGTGTATGTCTGCTACACATGTAACTAACTACCCAGGACGTCTAATATGTACCTTTCATAAGCCAAATGTTGGTATCTCCTGCTGTGACAGTCAGTGATTGTGAACTTAGGGGTCTCCCTATACATCCCTGTGACATCGTAGCATAATGGTGTGGGGACTTCACTACAGTGGGCAGTGGTTGGAATGCAAAGCACAAGCCCATTAATTAGCATCTGAGATAACCACCAGCCAACCTGCCACTGGGTGAGACCACAGCAGCTGACCATTCTTAGCTCTGAGCAGGTCCTCCACACACACACACTTGAAAACAAGTGCCTGTCAATTTAACACACCAGCGAACTAGCTACACTCCTGCCACTGTCTCCAGATGGTTCACATACTAGGGGAGGAGGAGGATGGCTGGTGGAGAGGGAAACTAGGGGATAAAGTCGGTCTCTTCCCCTCGAACTTTGTGGAGGTCATCAACGAAGAGGCCCCGCCCCCTGACTCCGCCCCCTTCACGACGTGAAATCCCAGACGGTCCTCATCAGCTGCCAGAGAGACGTGAGTCCTTCCCTCCTGACTTGACACCCCTGAAATGAGCATGTATGAGATTTTTATCCCACAAAAAAATCAGTGTTTCTGTTCTCTTGGTTTTTGTCTATTGTGTGTCTGCTCACATTATGTACATTACGTGTATTTGTTATTGGCGAGTGAAGCAAGCCCACGACCTCTATGGTAATCTGAATGTGAATTTTCTATAGCCCTACTGTATGTATGTATGTATGTATGTATGTATGTATGTGTATGTATGTACGGGCATGACTTCCAAATATTATACACAATTCTAAATACACGTGAAATGCTCGAAAAATCTAACAGCTTGCTTCGCTCGCCAAAGTTACATTTCTTCTAAGAACATTACTCTCCTTTCACTCCCTCCCCAGGTCCTCCGCCAGGGGTGAGAGTAGGTATGGGTCTACCGAAGTTTAACCCTCTCGATGTCAAGTTAAAGCCGACAGCACGTGTCCCGCCACCGGCCATAAAGGATGAGCCACCACGGATCAGACCTGAGCTGAAGAAAACTGTTCTTCCTCCAAAGAACCAACAGAGTGTGTATTAAATGTCATATTCACTCTGAAATGCCTGACTGGAATCCATGTCACTATTTCAACATCATAGTCCCTCTTCCAAAAGTGGAGGAGTTACTTCTCTTTTCTCTTTCCCACGCAGCAAAGCCCCCCGCAGCCCCCCCTCCACAGGAGCAACCAGTGGAGAGGGCAAAGGTCATTTTTCAGTACACGTCAGAACAAGAAGATGAGCTGGATATAAATGTAAGTGGTCTGTAGCAGTGGTATATACTGCCAGTGTGCTGTCTCTTGATCTGTTAGGTTGGAGATGTTCTTGAGGTAGTTAACAAAACTGAACATGATGGCTGGTGGAAGGTATATACATGTGCTCTCTTCTTCGTGTGTCGTCTTTAATAGTTAGTGGGGAAATCTATGTATGTTCATCAGTAGACTGAGACACGGCAGGCTGTTGTACATACATAGTACTTAGGTCAGTGGACATACATTTGTACGTGTGCTGTTTTTGTGGGGAAGTTGGCGCCGCAAAAGTTTAGTAAACTCGATAGGATTTCCGGTAAACTCATTACTATTCTTTAGAGATTATATTTCTCTCTCTTCAACATCAGGTGAAGTTGGGCGGTAGGGTAGGTGTGGTTCCTGACAACTTTGTAGAGCTGCTGCCACTTGAGCAGCTTCCAGCCCCTGACCTCCCTCATGCCAAGAAAGGTTTGTCTTGTGGTATCATGACCTGCTTCTCCCTCCATCTTTGTCTCTCACTCTCCTAACTGCAGAGCCTCGTAGGCCACCGCCCCCACCAGCACAGGACACCCCAGAACACCCACCAGGTACGTACCAATCAAGGTTCTCAAAGACCTGAGTAAGGGGACACCTCAGAATCTTTTCCCTTTGTTCAAAGGTTTCACTATTGGTAGATAAACCTACGTATGAATAGTAGACTGTATTGCAAACACACCTCTGCAACTGTGGGTGGTTTGTTCATTACTGTCCTCCACACACACACACACACACACACAGACAAACCGGCAGATTTTGGAGTCCCCCTGACCGAGCCACTGGACAGCTCAGCAGTAAAGGAAAGACCTCACAGACCTGGTGGTGTCAGACCTCCGTCTCGTTCCAACCTTCACCAGGTTAGCCACACCCACTACAAGCCACGCCCCCTGAACCATAGTGTGTGTTTAGAGCACCGTTGCTAAATCAGAAATTTGAACGACCGGGTAGGCTTGCTTCGCCTCCCAATAAATGTGTGGTAGTAGACCGAGGTGACAGAGCACGTTGTTGTGTGAGTGCAGGAGGATGGGGAGTTGGCCAGCAGTCAGGGAGGAGGCGGGGCGGGGGACGAGGCTCCTTGGCAGAGGGAGATCAAACAGAGGAAGAAGAAGGAACCAGTCAAACTACCACCCAGCAAGCCACACCCACCCCCTCCTGCTACCGTGGCAACGGAGCCTGAGAAACCGGCTCCACCTCGAATGGCTAGCAAACCTTCTTTTGGTGAGTGCTGTGGAAGCTGTTCTTCTGTTTGTCCGATCTGATTACAAAATCCCATGTTTGTCTCTCCCTCTCTCTCTCCCTCTCTCTGCAGCAGCGAAACCGAAGCCACCACCAGCTAAACCTCCAGTAGATATAGCCAAGGTGATTATAAATACCCATCTCTCTCCCAACCACTAGCACCAAACTGCTACATATACTGAAAATAAGGGGAAAAGTCAGACCACAGCTTTGCCCCACTGTATATACTAAAGCTTGCAAATTTGGCACCAATTCCAACATACCAGCAAACACAATACCTTGAAAGTGGCACTATATATGTGGTGTACATTTCTATCTCCATCCTCCCTCTTCTCCCTCATTCCACAGACAAAACCACCTCCGGCAAAGCCACCCTCTGAAGCCACACCCCCTCCCGGAGCCGAGACCACGCCCCCCAAGTCCTCGGAAGAGTGGATAGAGGCTCTGGATAAACTGAGGTCAGAGTTCAATGAGTTCAAGACCCAGATCAGGAAGGAGCTGCGGGAGGAGATAAAGACGTTGTCAGATGATTTGGACCAGGAGCGGAAGAACAATGCCTCTCTCAGGATTGACATAGACAGACTCAAGAAAATGAAACTCTAGTATCGTCCTCTCGCGTCTCTTAATAGTCTCTTCCATTTTTCAAATTGACACACAACACAACACAGAGTCTGTTTATCGGTGTTTGGTCACCATGGTTACGGTATTATACAGTTGTGCCGAATTTTATTGGTGTAATGTAAGTGTGTGTGAAATGTAGTATGTGCCATTCTATTCCTTTTTTATGTTCTTTGAACATTTTATTAATGAGTGTTTATGATTCGCTGTAGCCGTTGATACGAGAAGAAGAAGGTGTGGTCTTGATGACATCATCCACAATTCCACTGAAAGCATTAAACATTCCACCTGTAGGGGGGTGGGGCATTATGTCATGTGGTGAACCAATCGAGTGATGATAAAAACCTGTGTTAATGAAAAGGATGCGGTTGCCACGGAAACGGTGTGGGTTAACCTTCATCTCACTGAGCATGCCGAGCATGGTCTTGCCAGTATATAGGGTATCCAGAATAACCCCAGTCTCACTGGCCACCGAAATCACCAGCTCTATTGGGGTTAAAGCCTTAATTCTCCAGTCTGTTACATTTGGTCATGTGACATACCTTTTAACTCTTTGTTCACACATCCATGGCCACCTAGGTGGTACCCATCAATGAGGTCGATAAGGTCGCGCGGCTCCACCCCCCTGACACCTAGCTCCTCAATTCGCTGACCAATCACATTGTAGAGATCATCAGCAGGTGTATTTATTATAGTGACAGCATGTACCCTGCATGTGGCATGCTCTACAATTGCTATTGTCGATATACTAGCAAGTTTCACCCGTTTTTGTATATATGTTGCTTTGCCTCCAACAATAACGGCATGTGCATACGTATACACATGTCAACACAAGGTAAGGTAGAAAGGCAAAGCAAAACAAACCAGTCAGGACTAGTTTCACGAGCCATACGCATTTTGCGTGCATGCATCGAGGCGCTCGCACGTCCCCCTCCACATACTCTCTACGTGCGCGTGCCTTGACGCATGCATCGAGGCGCTCGCACGTCCCCCTCCACATACTCTCTACGTGCGCGTGCCTTGACGCATGCACGCAAAATGCGTATGGCTCAACATACAAAAAACGGTGAAACTTGCTAGTAGTATCGACAATAGACTAGACTAATCCAGGAAACTCTTCATCCCAGGAAAATATGAAGAGCTACCCTTGGTGGGATTCAAACCCACCACAAGAGGGGCATTCTACCAGCTGAGCTACCAGAGCAACTCAGCTGGTATTGGTAGGGGTTAAAATCGTGTATGCATGTACATGTGCACATGCACATGATAACATATGCACATACAGTACGTATGTAAGTACATGTAGGTAGAATGTATGCATGTACTTATGCACAAGTATGTATGCACTGTGCCAGTACTTACTTGACCCTTGACCCTGTCAGGTAGTTGGCAACAGCTAACGCACAGGCAGTTCCACCGCTGCCAATGGTAACGATGACATCATCGATATTGTCCAGTGCCCTTTGACCTCTGAGCTCTTCCCACGCATGTATGTACCCCCACTCTCCAAGTGGACAAGTCCCGCCCACTGGTATGAAGTATGGCTTCCTCCCTCTCAACCTGTAGATCAAACCACATGTTTACACTGGCGCCAGAGAAATTAGTGGGCTAAGGGTTAATTAATCACTGACAGAGAAATTAGTGGGGCGGGGGTTAATTTTACTGCTAATAGCACAAACACACCCACTTCTTCTTGTTTCAACTATTTTTGGTTTCCTATAAGTATTGTCCACTTAACTGTAGCACAGTACAGTAATAGTTGGAATGTGCAGTGCAAACAAACGTAGGGGCAGAGATCAGAAGTGAGATAAGGCATTGTTCACAAGCAAGTGGGGTTAAATGACAGGCCAACCAACTATCCTGAGTACTCTGACTACATCTGCAGCATGCAATGCAACAACCATTGACATGTACTCACGAGTCATGACCTCATCTTGTCAAGATGACCTTCCATCAGGGCTGATATCCTCAGAACGTCTTCAATGTGGGGTTTCCCCTCCTCTCTGGGACAGGCTACTACTGTGGCACCACTCAGCCGACACAACATCATGTTCCCCCGGCAACCAACCTGGTCTATTGGATGGACCTGACCCAATGACATCATCATTACAGTATAATCTCTTGAAAGGACCTTTAAAACAAGGACATTGCATGCTGACAATTGGTACTGCCCCATTCTAATACATTAGTGTATATGTGGGAGTACTAAAGGACTACGTAATGTACAGGTAACAATTCTACATTTAGCCTATACTGCCACATTCAAGAAGACGTGCGCATGTGCAGAAAAAACGTGGGAAAAAGTTTCACAGTAAGAAAAACATGCGCACACGCAGAAAAAACATGGAGCAGTTAGAAAAATGTGTGAGGTGCGGATGCGCAGAAAAAACGTGGAGCAATGAGAAAAACCTGCGTGTGCGCAGAAAAAACGTGGAGCAGTTAGAAAAATGTGTGAGGTGCGGATGCGCAGAAAAAACGTGGAGCAATGAGAAAAACCTGCGTGTGCGCAGAAAAAAACGTGGAGCAGTTAGAAAAATGTGTGAGGTGCGGATGCGCAGAAAAAACGTGGAGCAATGAGAAAAACCTGCGTGTGCGCAGAAAAAACGTGGAGCAGTTAGAAAAATGTGTGAGGTGCGGATGCGCAGAAAAAACGTGAAGCAATGAGAAAAACCTGCGTGTGCGCAGAAAAAACGTGGAGCAGTTAGAAAAATGTGTGAGGTGCGGATGCGCAGAAAAAACGTGGAGCAGTTAGAAAAATGTGTGAGGTGCAGATGCGCAGAAAAAACGTGGAGCAATGAGAAAAACCTGCGTGTGCGCAGAAAAAACGTGGAGCAGTTAGAAAAATGTGTGAGGTGCGGATGCGCAGAAAAAACGTGGAGCAGTTAGAAAAATGTGTGAGGTGCGGATGCGCAGAAAAAACGTGGAGCAGTTAGAAAAATGTGTGAGGTGCAGATGCGCAGAAAAAACGTGGAGCAATGAGAAAAACCTGCGTGTGCGCAGAAAAAACGTGGAGCAGTTAGAAAAATGTGTGAGGTGCGGATGCGCAGAAAAAACGTGAAGCAGTTAGAAAAATGTGTGAGGTGCGGATGCGCAGAAAAAACGTGGAGCAATGAGAAAAACCTGCGTGTGCGCAGAAAAAACGTGGAGCAGTTAGAAAAATGTGTGAGGTGCGGATGCGCAGAAAAAACGTGAAGCAATGAGAAAAACCTGCGTGTGCGCAGAAAAAAGGTGGAGCAGTGAAAAAAACTTGCACATCCGCAGAAAAAAACATGGGGCAGGGAGGGAAAAATGTGGAGCAGGCGCAGAAAAAATGTTGGGCTAACTGCTACCAAAAATGTTTTCTGCGCATGCACACGTTTCTGTGCATGTGCCTTTGCCTTTCTACCTCACATGCATATACTTGGCTTGGAGTTGGGCGTCATTGGTGGTTTAATTACCCCGGTCTGCTCCTACATGCTAAGTGAGAGTTTACTGTGCCATAGCACAGTGGTTTGAGGTGTGCCTTGTGTTGTGTTGTAGATTCGAACCCCTACCAGCTGAGTTGCCCTGGTAGCTCAGTTGGTAGAGCGCTCGCCTAGACTGCAGAGTGTCGTAGGTTCGAATCCCACCTAGGGCAGCTCTTTATTTTTCCTTGGAAAAAAGAGCTGTCCTAGGTGTAGTTGATTTGTTTGTTGTGCCTTTGCCTTTCTACCTCGTAGTTTTCACATGCATATACTTGGCTTGGAGTTGGGCGTCATTGGTGGTTTAATTACCCTGGTCTGCTCTTACATGCTAAGTGAGAGTTTACTGTGCCATAGCACAGTGGTTGGAGGTTTGCCTTGTGTTGTGTTGTAGATTCGAACCCCTACCAGCTGAGTTGCCCTGGTAGCTCAGTTGGTAGAGCGCTCTCCTAGACTAAAGAGCTGTCCTAGGTGTAGTTGATTTGTTTGTTGTGCCTTTGCCTTTCTACCTCGTAGTTTTCACATGCGCACGCCTCACCGTTTTTGTTCATGTGCAAGTTTCCCTAACTGCTCCATGTGCATGGACACGAGTTTTTCTGCGCCAACGTTTTTTATGCGCATACACTACGATTTTGTCAAAGCGCAGTTTTTTCTGAGCATGCGCACGTTTTTTCTAACTGTTCCATGCAACTACCCCAGAGTGCTCCACGTTTTTTAGCTCATCCGCACATTTTTCTCAATGCTTAAAGTTTTTCTGCGTACGCAAAGAATTTTCTCTCCACTCCACGTTTTCTCTGCACCACTCTTCATTTTTTCTGTGCATGTGCACAATTTTCTCACTGCTCCACGGTTTTTTCTGAACATGTTTTTTTAACTGCCCCATATATATGCAGAAACATTGAGGAGTTCAGGAAGAGTTTTCGCAAAGTTTTTTCTGCGCATGCGCACGTTGTTCTAAGCTTTTGCGCACTTTGTGGAGCAGTTAGAAAAACTTGTGCGTGCACAGAAGACAACCTGAAGGAGTGGAAAAAAGCGCATGCGCAACGTGGAGCCGTGACAACGTGCTTATATGCAGAAAAACGTGGGGCAAGTAGATAAACGTTGAAAAAACGTGGAAAACCATGCACATGTGCATAAAAAAACCTTTTGTGTAGTGAGAAAAGCGTTCAGGAGTTAGAAAAATTTGCGTAGAAACAATGTGACATCGGTGTCCATCAAGGTGTCCTTGCTTCACTATAGATCATTACATAATGACCTTGGGAGACTCGGTCATAATAAAGAGGGTGGAGTCAAGACCGACTTCTCTGGCGGCGAGGGCCATGGTTCTGGCGTGGTTGGAGTGGATTCCTCCGAATGTTACAATGCAGTCACTTCCCTTCTCGATGGCGTCAGCTAGAATGAACTCCGCCTTCCGGAGCTGCGAGGAAAATGAGAGCTTGTATCGGAGGCCAGAAACAGTATAATTGTAGTATGCATCTCGTTTGGCTACGAGGATAAAGTAGTGAACAGTTTTGTTGGTTGCTCGCCCCAACAAACATGTCCCTGCGTACAAAAATTGCAAATGAAAATTCCAAAGTTGTTCTCCATCAGCTATGATTTGGCCATGAGATGAAGTTGAAGAACCTTGTTCCCAGAGGTGGAGCAGCCGGTAAGGTCATCTCTCTTCACCCAGACAGAGAAAGGGGAGGGGAGGTGGGGGAGATGCCAGCGGTGGACAGGAGTAGGAGCCATTGCCAGCTGAGGAGGAACGAGAGGACAAGCATGTTTTTACCGAGAAAACTTGTCATTATAGCTACGCCATTGCCATGCACAATAATATTTTGCATTTCATTTCGAGGAACAGATGTGCGAAACGCCGAGTGCACATGCAAGTACGTGCGGGGCCGAGGAGCTCACGTGAATTCTAGACTTGGGGACTACAGCTAGATGGCTGGCCCACTCTGGCGGACTGTACGGCTCCAGCTGACAGTAGCTGGACATCTTCACGTACGTACGTACGCACACGCACGCGTCGCCGCTGAATAATTGCGCATGCGCAGGACATCGATGTGCGCAGTTGTATTATACACCCAGTTGGGATTTGAATGTCAAATACAGAATGCCACAAATTAACGCACAACATAACAACAGATTGGTGTTTGGCCACCATGGTTACTATATTATACAGTTGTGCCGAATTGGTGTAATGAAATTAATGTGTGTATGAAATGTGGTATATATAATGTGCCATTAAATTGTTTTTATGTTTTTATGATTCGCTGTAGCCGTGGATACGAGCAGAAGACGGTGTGATGTTGATGACATCATCCAAAATTCCATTGAAGGCATTGAACATCCCACCTATAGGGCGGGGTAGGGATGCAGTGAATGTAAAAACAATCGAATGAGAAAAACCTGTGTTAATGAAGAGGATGCGGTTGCCACGGAAACGGTGCGGGTTAACCCTCATCTCACTGAGCATGCCAAGCACGGCCTTGCCAGTATATATGGAATCCATAATAACCCCAGTCTCACTGGCCACCGAAATCACCAGCTCTATTGGGGTTAAAACCAGTTTGTTTTTACGTCATGTGATTTACATACCTTTTAACTCCTCATTAACAAATCCATGGTCACCTAGCCGGCCATCAATGAGGTCAATAAGGTCGCGTGGCTCCACCCCCCTGACACCTAGCTTCTCCATACACTGACCAATCACATTGTAGAGATCATCAGCAGATGTGGTAATAACGATCGCATGTACCCTGAATTAATACCCAACATAAATGGGGAATGTCATTACTAGCCATTCACCACACAATAATTATAAGTTGTAAAATGTATTGTAAATGTAAATGGTGAGTGTGGTTACTAATGAGGGCCTACCAGCTCCAAACCTGCTCGGCCTCTTACTTTATCACGCTGTTCATTTTGCTGCCAGCGTATTGTAGCCACTCTGTAAAAAAATGACTTACTTGACCTTTGACCCCGTCAGGTAGTTGGCAACGGCTAAAGCACAGGCAGTTCCACCACTAGCAATTGTAACGATGACATCATCGATATTGTCCAGTGCCCTTTGACCTCTGAGCTCTTCCCACGCATGTATGTACCCCCACTCTCCAAGTGGACAAGTCCCGCCCACTGGTATGAAGTATGGCTTCCTCCCTCTCAACCTGTAGATCAAACCACATGTTTACACTGGTGACAGAAATTAGTGGGCTGGGGGTTAATATTACCGTTAATAGCACATACACACCCACTTTTTCTTGTTTGTCTGTAGGAGTGGGACTCCACTATGGTGTAAATACTTTAAGCAAGCAAGTGGGGGGAAGGACAGACCAACCAACTGATTACATTGACTATAATATAGCTGGAGTGTACAGTGGAAACATTGTGGTATAATGTTGCAGCCTGATTATTATCGAGGACAGAACAACTAATAATCCTGAACACTGACTGTAGAGTGAACCTCACTGTTGCTTTTCAAACCTCAGGTTCTGTACTACAGTATAATAGATAATACCTCATTATGTCAATGTGACCTTCCATCAGGGCTGATATCCTCAGAACATCATCATTGTCGGTTTTCCCCCTCCTCTCTGGGACAGGCTACTACCGTGGCACCACTCAGCCGACACAACATCATGTTCCCCCGGCAACCAACCTGGTCTACTGGATCAACCTGAGACAATGACATCATCATTACAGTGAAACTTCCGAAAGGACCTTCCTGATAAAGACACCCCTTCCTATAAATGTCCCATACTATGTGTCGTCCCTGAGTAAAGGATGCTTGTGGTACTTTACTATAGTACTAATGACCTCGGAGAGAGAGTGTCTTAATAAAGAGGGTGGAGTCAAGACCGACTTCTCTGGCTGCAACAGCCATGGTTCTGGCGTGGTTTGATTGCAGTCCCCCATATGTCACAATGCAGTCGCTACCCTTCTCCATGGCGTCAGCTAAAATGAACTCTGCTTTCCGGAGCTGCGAGGAAAGGGAGAGGAGCAAGTCTCAGTCATTCTGAGGATAAAGTAGTGACTATACAACCCTGAGTAAAATGATATATAGGCCTTCTCAAATGGCTCTCAAACAAATCATTAAGGCTCAAACATTTCCCCCTCAGCCAAGAGTGATACTAGGCCATGAGTGATGGTTGAAGAACCTTGTTCCCAGAGGTGGAGCAGCCGGTAAGGTCATCTCTCTTCACCCAGACAGAGAAAGGGGACGGGAGGTGGGGGAGATGCCAGCGGTGGACAGGAGTAGGAGTCATTGCCAGCTGAGGAGGAACGAGAGGACAACCTTTTTATACTGTAGGAACAGACACACTAGACTTGCAGTATAACTAGAATGGCGAAACGCCGAGTGCACATGCAAGTACGTGCGGGGCCGAGGAGCTCACGTGAATTCTAGACTTGGGGACTACAGCTAGATGGCTGGCCCACTCTGGCGGACTGTACGGCTCCAGCTGACAGTAGCTGGACATCTTCACACGCGTATCGCTGATTAATTGCGCATGCGCAGGACGTCGATGTGCGCAGTTGCGATTTTGTTGCTCAGGTATAGGTTAACACTCTCCCTCATTGAGCATCCAGTTGAGGTGTCACTCTACAAATGTCCACCCACTGGCACAGGTAGGGCTTCCTCCATTCAACCTACACATGTTTGCACTGCCGACAGAAAAATTAGGGGGCTGGGGGTTAATGCCTGGTGGTGGCTTCACTCACTACCTAGGTAAACATCATTGCATGATTTTCCCAGATGAAATGGGAATAGGGTGCAGTGAAGGGGAAGCCCCTGACCCAATGGGCATAATATAGCTAAAATGATCAGTATACTGGAAAAGCTGGAACTCACAACTAAACATTTGCAACATGACACACAGGTCGGCTTCATGCACCTTGAAACCGACTATGGCTTCACACGCGAGCGCACTGCATGCGAGCCACTCCCCCGTTTCGCACAGGCGTACACGCATGCGCGTAAACGTGGTAACGTCTGAGCCAGGACTGCACGGGAACATTTCTCGTATATAAAAGTAGCCAAGTCTTCGCATATACTTCATCAACCCGCGATTTCTTCACAAAATCTCCAACGAGCAGTCGCATAAACGATGCTACTAATAAGTGTTCTGTGTGTCATCATAACAGGAGCGGCAGGACAGACGGGAGACCCCGGATGCAGTGCTCTCACCGACAGTATGCCTGTGGACTGCTCTCCAGCTCCTCCGACATGCCTTGAAAGACTGCAGGGAAACGAATCACTGCAGCCTCTACGTCCTCCTCTGCAAAAGTAAGGTCAAACCTACACAATATTGTGCACCCATTAGCCAGAATAATGCATTGCCCAGTAGCTAGTGAACAATTGCAAAATGTTTATGGATAATATGGGATTTTCAAAATAAGTGTGCACATGTTCAAATTGTGGAAAAGTGTCATTTTACTATAATGCTAGTGACATGCAGCTGTGGAATGCCTGCTTGCACATTTGGGGCTGCATTTTTCAGTTGGTCGCTGCCTTTTATTGCATTAATGGGCTAGACACAACAGCCTAGCTGCCAGCCTGAGACCAGACAAGCAATAATCTTGATCAGTTGCATTAACACTTCATGCTGGAATGTAAACTCTAACACTGCCATTCTTGGCTAATCTCCAACAACAGTAGTACTTAGTATATACTGCAATGCTCCTGCAGCACTATTATGCCCATACTTCACTCGCAATTTCATTATTATGCTGCAGTAACTACCGATGCTACGAGACATGTTCATTGCTGGATGATGACAATGGTACGACCGTTCCTCCTCGGTGTGAGGCTCGTGTCTCTGGGCCAGACTTGCATTCCACGCTCCTGGTCTCCGGTCCATACCACCTCCGGCAGTACTCAGTCCATCAGCTCCAATCTCCATCAACTCAGACATCTCAGCTCTACCCTAACAATCACCTATGCAAGTAAGTTTACTTATTAACGTTAATGTTGTAAGTCTGCATCCTTTTTTCCATTTTCGTGAAAAACCTGCAAAAACCAAAGTAATCAGCCAAATCATAATAATAATCAGAACCTTACTACTGATGAATGCAGGCAGCTTGTATATAACTGTAGGTACATTGTACACACAAGTCAGTGAAAATGAGATGTCTACTCCGAAATGCTGAACGATCAGAAATGGAGGAGTGTATATAGTCAGAGACGACGTGAAAACTGTGAACAATAGAAGGTCAAGGTTTGATCAGTGACCCAGAACCATGATCTCACTACTGAACAGAAATTTTCTCAATTATTAAGTGTGATATCACTCCTTGTGTTTTAGCTACACCTGTGATTTAGTGGCAGCACTGAATAGGAGGTAGGCCAAGATCCTAGCTGGCAAAGTACAAAGCATCTGGTGATCCGAGAATTAATCAGGTAGACCTGGCGTCTGTTATGCCACAAAAGTGGGCAGTTTTTCACGACTTAGAGCCATTAAAGGCAGAGAGAGCCCCCTCATAGTCAATCAATTATATTATCTCTCTGGCAATTTTGCACAGACACAACATTGCCTGAGGTCAGAATGCTTCGCTGGGGCTTGTGTTTTTCGGTTGCCACAGCGTCCTCCTCTTACACAAGGCCGGTTGCTGGGAAACTATCACTGTTGGGCTAAAGTCAGAAAAACAAGGTTACCTAGTCTTAAGGTTGGGACTGAGCACTTGTTGTCAGCAAACAGCAGCCTCAGATGAGATGGCTTCAGACCATTAATGAACTACCAGACAACATTGATACAAGCATTAGTGCTAATGTCCCATGAAAACAGTTTATGTTTTTGTGATCAAAAGCACTGTTTGTCGTAATGTTTTTTGCCACAGAAGAGAAAGATGTTACTTTGGCCTAGAGTTGAAATCACAATCAATCCACTTTACAACTGAGACAATGAAGTCTTCTTTTGTCTTTCTAGCTTTTGACCACCTATATACCTAAACAGAAAGAAACCACGGCCTATTTTCTCTGCAGATACCATGTGACATGCACAGAGCCTGACAGCTACATGAGTCTCAGTGTGTCAGGTTTAGATCTGGAGCCAGCAGCCCGTCTGTGCAGGGACGACAGCATCTGTAGAGACTCCCTCCATCTCACGTACCCCACTGGTGGGTGTGGCTCTAGCAGCCAGTTCTCCCAACAATGTCAGCTATCTCTCTACAGGCAGTGAATGTACTCTGTGTGGCTCAGAGCTTGTGTGTCATGAGACGGGACGGCCTCAGGAACCTCTCGTGGTGCTAAATGGACATCCTGGACTCCACCTCTACTTCCAGTCCAACAGACAAGGTAGGGGGTGTGGCTTTCAGCTCATGGCCACCTGTGCTCGGAGGACATTCTTTGAATCTTCAAATTGTACTCTACCGCGACCTGTGTCTCCCCCTCCTCCCTTCACTCCCTTCCCACCCGATTTCAGCAAGAGGGTAATCAATGTCAGATGATTTAATCTGTGTGCAGTGTAATGCAGACAGTGGCCGTATATGTTCTCATGAAAACGAGTAAAAAAATTTGCTGTAAACTACATGCTCTTGGTGTAGAATCAATTTTTCTAAAGTATAAAAACCTGTTAAAGTTGACGCTAATGGCGTTATGTCTAGTGTTGAGTGTGTATTTGGAAGGTGTGTGACCTGAAACAGGAGTTGGGTGTGTGTCGTGAGGTAAAGAGCATCCCAAAACTGTGGGGCTTCAGTCTAAAACCAGTAGCCCGTCATCATCCTGGTAGTGAGTGTTGGGCTTTTGTTGCAACAGGGTAGCTATTATCCACCGTATACAGCCCTGTGTGATGTCACGACTACATAGTGACTCAGTTTGGCAATGTTTACGTACACTAGCACTGGTCCACAATGGGGGGAGTAGCTGACCAAGACCTGCGCAGCTCTCTCTAGGGAAACTGTCAGAACCTGTAACTGATCCTAACTCTCATCTTGTAGGATTCATCTGGTATGAACACCAGTGCTGTCGAGGGCAACGGCACGAGGCCACGGAGGTATTACAGTCAGAGTGGTATCCTGGTCCCAGGGCAAGGGAAGGTGGTGTACGAGGGACAGGAGGTGGTGGTGAGGATTGGAGGAGTCGTCATCCAGAGCTTCCCTGGGATCACTGTCCTGCAAGTCTACAACGACATTGAGGGTCCGTTGACGTTCTTCAGCTCAGCTAATGGCAGAACCTTCCCTGGATATGGTAAGCTCTTGATAGAGACCCCGCTGTACATAGGAGAATATTCTACTACTGATGCTTTGATTATTAAGCTTCTTAGCCTCGTGCTCATGCAGCAATGCAAGCTTGGTGTTAAAGCAAGGGGATAAAGAGTTCATAATGTAAGGATGTGTAGAGGCATGGTATTATGACATCTGAATGTATGCAGGTGTCTTGAGTGTTGGTCTGGGAGTGATCCATTACACCCAGGAAAGTGTTCCATCACAGGTAGCTAAACCTCTGTATGTATTCGCACACCCAACACTCTCTACTTACAACTGTCTCTCTCTCTGCCTGCTTGTCTCAGTTCAAACCAAATGAGTCAGAGAAGAGAATGATTCTGTTACTCCATCGTGGGATCGAGGCCAGGCAAGGGGAAGGTAAGTGGTGCAGTAGCTAGGGTTCCCCTTACAACATGACTGGCTGACTCTCTGTGCAGGTAGACCAGGTCAATGTGTCTCTAAACTGACTCAGGAACAGAGTAAGTCAATTATGTGGTACGGCTATTCAGGCACCTTTTAGACAATGTGTGTCCTGTATGTGTACTGTAATGTTGTTACGTACATAACCCTGTAACGCGGAATGCACTTGTTAGCTACCGCGATGTACTGCGTCTGGACCCAAGTTCAAATCCTGGCCTCGGCGCTTTTTATTTTTTCCACCTAATTAATTATTCATAAGTATGTATACATGTAATTGTGGTAAGAGGGTTAATCGTTTAGATTGTAGGGATAATGTCTGACATTGTCACTTTCATTTTACATCTGTTAACGATAGGGGTAGAAGTGGAGGAAGCAGCTCTGGAGTATGGAAGGGCCTGTAATGGTTTCCTGAGAGCAGCTGCCTGTGCCTACCAGCAGCTGTACACGAGGAGAGTGTCAACAGCCTGCCTGGCAGAGGTCCCCTTCTTCCCTCTCCCTCGCCCTCCTCCCATCCTCCCCCTCCACCCCACTGACTCCGGAAGTGGTCTGTCTGACTGAGCCTGGCCTTGCCACAGAACTGCTGAAGACCGAAATCTTCATCATCCTATTTTTTATCTCATAACTTTCACTATAATACATCAATCTGTAGCTGGTCTACAATGAAACTTTTTGTATGAACTTTGTGTGAACATCTCATCTGCCAATAGAACATGGAGCAGTGAATGGCAAAGTGTGCCCGTGTTGACTGCTACACCTGCCAATGGTTGTGTTAGAGACAGTCTCCAGTCATTCAAACTAACACTAGCTACACATGCTCCCCTACACGTAGGCCGTGTCAGAGAATTAGTGGTGGGCTGCAATTAGACATTTCACCCATGCTGTGTTCTGAGCTCACTAGGCACTGACTAACTGAAGGGTCCTCCCCACCATTTTACCAAGGAAGATGAACTCTACAAGCAGTGACCTCTGTGACCCCAGCCCAGGGCTCTACCAGCAGATCGTGGGAACTGGACTGTTTCTGGTGGCGTGGCCTCTGGTGGTGATTGATTCGAGGTTCCTCCCACTTGGCCGGCCAGCCGCGGCTCTTCTCGGAGCAGCCATGATGGTGTTCTTCTCTGTCATCTCCCAGGACGAGGTCTACGAGGTTGAAGCTCGCCAGGGTAACCTCCAAACCCTTTTCCTATTGGTGGGTATGATGCTACTGGCCTACTATTTCGACAGAGAAGGTCTCCTGCGATTGCTTGCTCTCTCAATCTTCGGCTCAACTAGCACACCGATGCGCTCGGTGCTGTGGAGAGTGTGTCTCCTGGCTGGGGTCTTGGCTGCGTTCATCACAAACGATGCCACAGCTTTGGTTCTGAGTCCACTGTTGCTGATTGAGTTCAAACGGCAGGGTCGTCCCCACAAGGAGATCCTGCCTCTGGCTCTGGGGATCACCACCTCTGCCAATATTGGCAGTGCAGCGACTGTCTTTGGAAACAGACAAAATGCAGTCATATCTTCCGCAGCAGACATTCCTCTCATTGAGTTCTTGAAGACCGAGCTCCCCGCTGCCGTGCTGGGTTTAGCGATCAGTGTGGGTCTGCTCTACATCCTGTTCTACAGAGTTCTCTTTGGACAGAGGAGTGAGAAGGAGGACGAGGAAGAGAGAAAGGAAAGGAAAAGAGCGTATGCAGAGGGTGTGGAGCTGCAGCCTTGCGCGGGGACCATTGCCGAAGAGAGACACGCAACTTTTCTAGACCTAGACCACACCTCTGACCCCTTGCTCACTAGTCAGATTGCTCAAGAAAGGGAGGCGATGTTTGTTGGAGACCAGCTGATTCCCTCTAGATCTCAACACAGCATTGGACACGGTCGCGCACGACTGTCAACCTCATGCTCCCTACACAGTCTGAGTCGCGGTCGTAGCTGCCACAGTATCAGCTCCCATCACCACCATGTGGGTCACAGTCCTGGGCCTGTGCTGGTGGAGGTAACCCTGCCAGAGATCAGAGTCACGCACAGTCAGCCCAGGGTGGAAGGGGAAGAGGAAGAGGTGGTGGAGGTGTTGAGGGAGAGAGATGTTGTTGTGGTGGAGTCCTACCCTGACCCCGTCCCCCTCACTACTCCACTCCGGGAGAGAGGACGCAGAGACCTTCTTTTCATTGCCTGGTTGGCCTTCATCTCAGTCCTGACTGTGGTTCTCCTGGCCCTGCCTCCTCCTCCAGTTGTCGCGGCAGAGTTCAACCTCGGGGTGGTCCCTCTGGGTGCAGCGATCCTCACCATGTTCGTCGACTCAATCCTCAACAGGAGAACGTCGTTTGAGGCCATAGCAAGCATTGACTGGACAGTGGTCCTCATGCTAATGGGTCTGTTTGCTTGGCTGCGAGGGTTCCAAAATACCTGTGTCCCCCACTTGGTGTTTGAGAGTCTTTCCCCATATATGGACCTCCACACCTTCTCTGGCGCCATACTCTTCACCGTTTTTGTTGTAGTGGGCTCCAACATCTTCAGCAATGTCTCGCTTACCATCCTAATGGTGGACAAGTTGCCCCTCCTCTTCTGTGGGGGTGTGGCCTGTCGCGGACCTCTGGGAGGACTCTTATTATCGTGGGTGGTGACAGTCTCGGGGAATATGACCCTCATTGGAGCCATCACCAACCTGATAGTTGCGGAGAAGACACGCAGCATTGCTGGGTACCGACTGACTTTCCTCAGATATGCCCGTTTCGGCCTCATTTCCAGTCTCATTGTCATATTCACTGGCCTTCCAGTTGTCTACACTCTTGCAAGATACACCACCGAGTCCTAGATTGTCATGAACAACTATACTCTTGTAGTTTGTGTGATATTATGTTCTGGTGTGTGATCAAGGTAGCTAATATCTTGCTGCAATACTACCGGTGCTGTAAATCAATTATTATGAACTGCTAGTTTATAACAGTGTGATGACAATGTTCGCTGCCTCCGCATCGCTCTTTGCTCATTTTCATGCACAATGAAATATCTGATGTGGTGACCAGCGTATATGTGAAAGTAGACATTTGTGACAGATTGGGCCACAAAGCTCCACCATCTGTGATGAGACACACATTGTATGCGCTAAGAACCTGCTTTTATCAGGAGAACAAAGCAGACTGTGTTGGGAACATTAGCCACCCAATAGCGGTGTCCACGATGCATTGCGCTCTGTCCCATACATGCTGCTGTATGTGCAGACTCGGAAAAGAGACCAAATGATATACTAATCCCGACAGCAATGTTGTCACGTGTTCCTATTCCGACCTCACACAGGGCATGAAACGGTCTCGTTGTCCAAGCTCATGTAGCACCGAGCCTTGAATGGATCTGAGAGGGTTTAACACATTTCTTCTTGTGAGAGACGCTATTGAAAACAGTACATTTCTGCTACAGCGACCTGAATGGCTCGGCATTTTAGGGGCTCATACAGCCTCTAAAAACACTGTGAGAAGCACTCCAAACTTGTAGTGTCGACAGCAACCGATTATTTTTAAGACTCTTGCACTCACTATTCTCCTAATATTTTCTCTCTCGCGCTCCGTGTGTGAGCGACTCTCAGTGTCAGACCCAGCGGAGTGAGGGAGAGAGAGGGGGGGACCGGCCATGGCTCCTCATCATACAGAGAAGCTGCTGCAGATAATCAGGTAAAACCCTGTTTCGAGCTGTGTAGCTGCATGCAGCGCTTACAGCGAAAGAATCAGGTTTAGCATGCAGCGCAGCAACATAATTGCAAGCACTATAATAATATAATTTTTGTCTGATTGCAGGAGCTTGCCGCCCCTCAACGAAACGAAAGGACTACGGTACAGCCTCGGGGAAGCGAGCCAGTGCTTAGAGGAAGACTCCAGCATCTACGTCAAGGTGGTGGCCACCATTATCTTTGTGTTGGTATGGCCGTTCATCGTGTTCGACATGAAATGGTTCCCCCTCGGTCGACCCGCCGCCGCCTTGGTCGGGGCAGCGCTCATGGTAATCTTCAACGCCGTCGGCCAGATGGAAGTGTACGACATCCAGGCAGAGATCGGAGACATGCAGACCATCTTCCTCCTGGTAGGTATGATGATGCTGTCCTACTACTACGACCGAGAGGGGCTACTGCGACTTGTCGCGCTCAAGATCTTCGGCACCGGAGCCCAACCCTTCCGAAACATCCTCTGGCGCATCTGTCTCCTGTCCGCGTTCATGTCTGCGCTCATCACCAACGACGCCACGTGTCTCGTTGTGACGCCGCTCATCCTCTACGAGTTCGTGAAGCAGGGTCGAGACCGGAGGGAGCTCCTGCCGATTTGCCTGGGAATCGCAACATCTTCCAACATCGGGAGTGCTGCCACCGTCTTCGGTAATCCGCAGAACGCCTTCATCGCCTCCGCCGCAGGAGTCAACCTGCTGCAGTTCTTCATCGCCGAGCTCCCCGCGGCAGTCATAGGACTAGTCATCTCCGTCATCCTCCTCTATATCATGTTTTACAAGATCGCACTCCTGAAGGCCCCACCGCCAGATGACGAAGAGCAGGTCGCCGGCGGCCGAGACTCCCGCTACCCGAAGACGCTCGCGGACGAGAGGGAATCTCTGGCGCTCAGCTACGACCAGAGCCACGATCCCTACCTCAGCAGCGCCATCGCAAAGGAGCGAGAGCTGCTCTACAGCCAGGACCGCGCCAGCGTCTCCGGCTCTCTTCCTCCGCGCGGCAAGAAGCGCGGAGGCGGCCGCGGAGCCAGCCCTTACCCCGGCGGAAAGCTAAAGGTCCCCAACTCCCACGGAGTTCCAGACATCAGAGTCGACGACGACAAGAATGGGAAAAAGTGAGTGAAGTTATTGGGTAGCTAGTCAAAGAGCGCTGCAGTCTAACATGTATAATTATTGTGATACAGGGGGGAGGACTATCAGACAATTCCAGATGTGACCTCAGAAGACGGTGATGATGAAGATGATGATATTCTCCCCACCCCTCTGAAGGACCGCACATTGAGGGAGAAGCTATTTGCAGCATGGCTGGCTTTCGTCACTGCTCTGGTGGTGGTCCTCCTCGCCATCCCTCCCCCACCAGTGGTTCCTGCCCAGTTCAACCTCGGTCTCGTCCCCGTGGGTGCCGCCATCCTCACTATGCTCATGGACACCATCCTCAACAAGAAGTATGCCTACGATGCCATGCTCAAGATTGACTGGACTGTCATCCTCATGTTCATGGGGCTCTTTGTCTGGCTGGGTGGCTTCCAGAACACCTGCTTCCCCACCATCGCCTTCTACAAGATGTCCGACTTTATGAACATTGAGGAGTTCGGAGGCACCATGCTGTTCACCGTGTTTGTAATCATCGGCTCCAATATCTTCAGCAACGTTCCCCTTGTCATCCTCATTGCCTACAAGATCCAGGGTCTGTGTGGGGACCACGACTGTGACGGTCCTCTCGGAGGGCTCCTGCTGGCATGGGTATCCACAGTCGCTGGAAACTTCACCCTCATTGGCTCAGTCGCCAACCTGATTGTAGCCGAGAAGGCTCGAAGCAGCATCGATTTCCGCCTCACTTTCTGGAACTACATCATCTTTGGAATGGTCTCCACCACTATAGTCCTCTTTGGTATGCTGCCCCTTGTCTATTTCCTTGGACGTTTGCAATAACTGGATTCATCATGTGTGCCGTTTGTCTCCACATCTAGTAGACAATTGTGTGTTAGCCGTATATATCATCATTAGGCAATAATTAGCCCACCTTTGTATGTCATAGAGATGAATTTAAGTTTTGTATATACTATGCACTAATAATTATGTTTTTCTATCCGAGTATTTATAATGATGTTTTACCAATCGCGCGGCTCCGTGTTTTACGCGGATACGCATGCGCATACTTCACGCGTCACCGCGCGCGCGTCGTCGTTCGTCACCATGAATAAACCTCCAGTCACTGATACCATTAGCGGTGCTGTTCTGCATCGAGTACCAAGTGACCCTTCAACCATAGGTGTTTTATAATAATCAATTTCTTGTTGACATCTTATTTCTGCAGATTCGAGTGAGGTAGTGAGTGAAGCAGAGAGTGAATCTGATGTTGGCCCTCCATCCCTCTCGTCCCCTCTTCCCCTCACCGCCTCTGAAGAGAGACAGGTGGACCAGTGTACTCGTATTGGTCTGGTGGCCACTCGCAAGTACCCGTCAGATATACTGACAGAAGATGACCGAAGAGAAATGGATGTCATCAGAAGGTCACTGGGAATGCTGCCCTGGAAGAGCCTGACAGCTGCCAAGAGTGAGGATCTGGAGACAGAAGAGCAGTCAGCCTCTGGTACCAAAGACACAGTGTTTGTAGATGGCAGGTCTCCACTTATTTCCAAAAGACAATCTTCTGAAACTAAAGCACTCCCTGAGAAAATAAGTAATTTTGAGAACAAGGGAAAATCATCCAAAGAAACATCTTGTAAAAGAGAACTGCGTCATGAAAGAGAACTTTGTTCTTTAAGGGACGAGTGTCCAAGTGAGGAGAACAGAGAGGGAACAGAGGTGAGGACTGGCTGTTATTCTAGACCAGCAGGGAATAGAGAGCAGCGAGAAAGCTCAGAGATGGTGGCAAACGAGAGAGACAAGAGCGAGGAAAAAAGACGTGGCTTTGGAATGAGGCAGGGAAGAGGCGGATTAAACAGAGGCGTGGAGAAGAAAGATCGAAGAGATGCAGTAAGAAACTGCAGCAAGAACTATTGCAGGAGTAGGTCTGGGTATCATCAGGCAAGATGTTCCTGTCTCCATTCGAAATACTGTGGTGGACAGAGGAGACCCCGAGTTTGGGTCACTGGTAGCAGGTTATTGGTATGTTCTGTGTGTAGGCAGCAGATGTGGCAACCAGAGGAACACTGGGTCCCAGGGAGGGGTTGGTATGAGCAACAGCTGCCTCTACCGCCATTGTTCAGTGGTTCACACCTTCTGACTGGACAAAGAGACTTATTCAGAGTAAGACCTCAGACTTTGTGTGGTGCTTGTAGTTACACACTCACCTATATGACTCTATGCACTAGAACTAAACTTTTTTGTGGCTGAGGCACATCCATCACCATTTCTAAGAGTTTTCATTTTGCCTCTAATCAGCCCCTCCGTCTACCTGGCAGTCACGTGAAACCTTCACTCCAGTCACAAGGCAGCTACTTCCAGCAGCACATGAAAAACAAGAGGAAGAGAACAAGAAACCTTCCGGGTATACCCTAACCCATGCTCCCGCAAACTCTAACTTGGAAAAAATCACTGCAGGCTGGCAAAAGATACACGCAGCCCTTCCTCCTCCTCTTCCTGCTCCTACTTTTCAGCCATGGAGCAGATATTCAGGAACCCAGGGAATGTACGACAGTTGGCACATTAGCCAAAACAAGTTTTGCTTGACCGCAAGGTCATCCATGCCTCCTGTCAACATGAGGGTGGTCCCTCAAATCAGGAGGCAGAACAATAATTGGTTGAGGAGCAGCAACGTCTCTTACTCAATGTTGCATAACCGGAAAAGACTATAATAACAAACGCACTTCCGGTTTATATTTGTCTGAGCTGTCGCATGCCTGTTTTGCTGCGGTTTCGCACCTTGAGAGTGGCAAATATCGCGTCGGTATGTCACTGATCTGGACCAAGGAGAGCAGTCTAGGGCTGTGCAGAAGGGCTGCTGAGAGGACGTGAAGAGGTAAGCTAGGCAGAGCCGCGGCGGGAGGTCATGCCACGCCTCCGTTTTGGAGTGGAACATCATGAATCGTGCCAAGTGGCGGGTTAGAACTGCAGCGTTTGCAGATCAGTAGTGTTTACGAGCAAGAAAAGAGCTGGCAGGACTAGACTATAGCTAGCTACACGTGTCGAACAAGAGCACGAGATACTACTATATAGCTACATGTGAGATTGTCGCCGCCATAGTGACGATCGCAGAAACGATCAAGAAAGATGCCGTGCTGCAAAGCCTTCCGGTTTCTCCGCCAGCGAGGTATATTGCCGACTTATTTAGCATCAGGCCCAGCATATTTATATTTCAGCGGAGACCTGTAGCTATAAACTGTACATAAATAGTAGTTGTTGTATTTGGCACCATAGCGAGTGAATGGGAGGAGGCTATATTATGGGGAAGGGTTGCTAATCATTGTTGGTACACATCCGCCCATTTTTCTCTCCCCACTGCAGTTGCTGCGGCGATGGAGCGATTATTTGGCTGGCTGACAGGGAACAGGTTGGAGGAAGAGGAGAGAGAAAAGGACACCAGTAGCATTAGCAGCAGAGAGAGGGAAAAGGACACCAGTAGCATTAGCAGCAGAGAGAGGGGTCAGTATATACTATTGCAAGACCATGAATGCTCTGTAGCGATATATACCCTATGTATTATTACCGGCTAAACGAGGCTAATCACATAATTTGGCACAATGTGGAATTTTGTGCTAATGAATAGTTGCTGCATGTTAGTGATGTCAACAAATCGTGCATTGTATATACCTCGAGGCACGAATTTTTGTGTCGCACACAAAAATACGTTTGCAATGGGTGAGCAGTTAACTTTTCCTGTAAACTATAGGTGGGCTTATTCGTGTGCCAGTTAGCTGGCGTTGTTCGTGCATATAGCAGTGTACAATTAAACACGAAAACTTAGTCGCTGTGCATCCCGTGGAATACATACGGGTGCACTTCCTGTTTAATGTTTGATGGTCAAATTTAGGTTTGTTTGTTTTTGGAGGAGTATCCATGTAACTTTCTGTGGTTGAGTTAGTTCATGGATACTTCACGCAACATATCTGTGGCTTGGTGTAGTTCAGACACCTGATCAATTTCTTTCCCAGGATCGGAACAATGCAGCAATACAGCCTGATGTGCCAGCCTTATGGATATAATAGGGCCAGTGACTGCTGTATATAGCTACATAGGGACTAGGGCTTGTGGAATCTCCACTAGAGCCAGCTAGGGCTCTTTGAAGTAGTATAATATACCACCATCTGTATATTATACTGTAATGGAGGTATATAGGGCTCGCGTGGTGAAGCACCGGTTAGCTACACCAGTATAGCGAGATGTATATATAGGGCTGGTGCCAATGAAACTCCTGTTTTGGTATATCGGAACACTGTATTAGGTCGTCCTGTTACCTCACAGAACTTCGTCCACTGACAGATGAAGAGGTGACGACGTATGGTAGCAATGGAGCCTGTGTGGAGGTGGGGGAAGGGAGGACGGGAGTGGGGAGAGACGAGGAGGATTTTGTCGTCATTGCCAGCGAAGGAGAAGAGAGCAGCTGTACGCTAGAGGGGTCTCAAGAGGCGGCTAAGGTCTCCACTACCACTGCTGCTGGAGGTATACTGAAGACAGCTCAGGATAGGCTGGTTAGTGTACTGCATCATACAAGTGGATGCATCAAATGGTCCTTCGCCAGAGTATAGGGCCCTTGAATCACACCAGCCATCGTTCATCAATGACAAATCCCGATCCTGCCAACTAGGCCAGTGTAGAAAGCTGTCTAGCACTGTGGTTGGCCACTATATAGCAAATTTAGATCATGGCTCAGGGCTTAGGCCTTTATAGCCGATAGGGTACATGATAACATGACTGTTTGACCATTGTGGAGATGGCAACATGGCGATGACAGAGATGGTGATGTATGTGTAGACAAGTTGAACAGGAGGTGTGTGGACTGGGTGGCACCAGCTGCTACAGTAACTTCTACTCCTTCTGGCTCTCCATAGTTCCTTGATCAAGTAGCTGGAATCTCCAATTACTGTATAGACATGGTGTTTTGCCTTTATACTATAGGGATCTTTGAATAATATACGAGGATGCAGTTAAAAGAACACTGGACACCTTCTCTATAAAGGACATTTGTGTTGATCTGTTTATATCTGAATGTATAAGTGGTCCTGGCATATATAACATAAAACTGTTTCCTTTGTTGGGAATTGTGTCCTTTATTCGGAGTGCCTTTATCGGAGGTTGTACTGCACTCCCTTCCTCTTCTTCCTCCTGATCCCTCTCAGAGTCCAGCGCCAAGCTGTCCCCACCACAGAGCACCTGCCATAGAATGGCGTTCTCGTGCCGACCTCCCGGTCAGAATGAAAGGTCTACAAGCTGCCCTACACAGAGGGAAGGTGTTTGTGGGTGGAGGCTATACTGGCCACGCCAACTCAGAGATGACAGTATACGAGTACGACCCAAACTTTGACCTATGGGCGGAGCTTCCCGTCTCTCCAATGAGATGGTTTGGAATGACAGAGTATGAAGGTCAGCTGCTGTTGGCGGGGGGAAAAGACGTGGAGAAGGGACGACGGATGAAAATGACCAATCGAATCGCAGTATTTAACGATGATGAGTCTTGCTGGCTCCACCCCTATCCACCCATGTCAGCCGCCCGGGCACACCCAGTGGTGTTTTGCCACGCCCACCTTCTGGTTGTTGCTGGGGGACGCATAGGGGTCCTGGACTACAATGTGGAGGTATTTGACGGTCACCACTGGGTGTCAGCGTCACCTCCCCCTGTTCCCATCTCCTCTCTCTCCTCACTCGTCCACTGTGGCCACTGGTACCTCATTGGAGGCATGAAAGTCTCCACAATACACTACGTATCCCTCCAGAGCTACCTCCACTCGCTCATCCCACCCCCCCAGGAAGAAGAGGAGAGAAAAGAGGAAGAAGAGAAGAGGGAAGAAGAGGAGGAGAGAAAAGAGGAAGAAGAGGAAGGACAGGTTTTGTCAACCAAACCATCTACAAGCAACAGTACTCCGCACATTAACTGGGAGGAGTTTGTCGCACCCCCTTTCCTTGTGTCTCGGATTGTGTCGGTGGGACACCACCTGGCATTGTTTCCCTCCTCACCCAGTGACGAGGGAGGGCTCCAAGTGTATCTCTGGCATGAGGGAGACTGGTTGTCTGCAGGAACGATTCCTCGCGTCAGTGTCTCTGCCAGCGTCATCCTCTTATCTTGTGGAGACCTTCTGTTGCTAGGAGGCGATGTGGACGGCCTCCATTACTCTAACAAGGTCTACAGAGTCAGTCGTGGTACTGGTGGACCGCAAGAAAGAGAGCAAAAAAGAACCTAGGTTTCATCCCGCAATAAGCTCATCCCGCAATCATGTTTTGTACAAACGTTCATATTATGTATTTTTGAGCCAATAAAAAAATTTACATCTTTCGGACAGCACAAACACACAAGATCTGTCCAAACGTTCTAATTAGAGCCCACCACTGGCTTCATCTCCTTTACTGCCAGGAGTGTAGTAGTTGGAGCCATTCAACTGGTGGAGTGGAGGGAGACATTTGCTGTTTACCTCGTGTATATAAGACAAGTGAAACACACATCTCGATTCTAAGCATTATCGTGATTTGCACCAGCAAAGGAAATGATGTCATTGTAATTGAGAACACGGCAACAATTTATGCACTCCACACCCTGTGAGACATTCCCTTGTGAGCAGATTTTAAGCATTTTTAGAGGACCTCAAGCATGTGTAAAGGAATGCTCTCTTTTGAGCAGTTAACCCAATGGGAGTTTCAAATCACAAAATCTAATACGCAGTATAAAGAAAGATGCAGCGAAAGCATCCCCAATAGAGAAGAAGAGGATGCGGGGAGAGAACTAACATTCTGATCGTGATCCATGACAAACTGAGGAATGTCAATCTGGTCAGGGTTAATGGTGTCGTAGAGGTACTGGACTCCAGTGAGGTAGTGGACTCTGTCCTTGATCTCCCCGGCAGTGAATGTCAGGAACCACCACGCCTGCAACTGTGTGTGTGTGAGTGTGAGTGAGGGGAGGAGGGGGTGTTTTACCTTGAACCACCAGGTAGGATGGACCACATACAGAGCTCTCAGATTCCTTTTATACCTGCATACATGTACATGGATCAGGGAATGAGATTTGTGTGGACACAGATCAAAATTCCCTCTGGTTTGGACAACAGTTTCATGCGCCATACCATTGGTTATGCAACACCCGTGGTTATTATTACCCATGTTCAACCACCCCCTATGGTTGGCCTACAAAATGTTCTCAGAGTACACTTTCGAGCACGGCTATAGGCTATATTACATACAGTACCCAGTGTGTGCCCTCACTTGGAGTCTAGGAGAGTGTACAGATCTCTGAAGAAACTAGCGTCTGGAGGTCTGTCTGACTGAATGGCAGAATTTAAATAAACTATGATGTAATCGTGGTGCACAATGCTCTCCATCACTTGAATGAAGTACGCCTTTGCCTGTGGGTGGAGTCAGGAAAGTCATGACCACACCCACATCGCACAAGCCTACCCGGGAGAGGTCAAAGCTTGCAGCAGGGAATCTGTTACCAACGTAGACCACAACGGGCCGACCGAGATAGTCGCGGCCTGCCTTGTAGAGGGCGTTGAGGTCAGAGAGGTCGGAGAACACCTCTGTTCTGGCTCGGTGCAGCATCTCCTGGTACCTGCGGAGAAAGGGAACACCCAACTCCCTCTGTCAACATCTCCATGCCAAACTGTCTTTCTATTTATAGTGGGAGTTAAGTCCAAGTTTGAGGAAAAGAGTAGGTCAATGCAACAAGTATGAAAGATGGCTTACACGAACGAAGTTGGTTGCATGGAACACACTTTTGTTGCTCTATTGCTAATACTATTTGTGTAAAACATAGTTGACTCACTTTCTCTGCTGTATTTCCTCTTGTGACGGAGGTCTGGATCTTCCCAATTCTCTCCTCCTCTCTGCATCCTGGTCTGGAGTCATGGCCGCAAACGGGTGGCTTCCAACCTCCTCCACCAACTCTTCCTCCTCCTCCTCCTCCTCCTCCTCTTCCTCTTCTTCTTCTTCCTCCTCCCCCTCTCTCCCTACACACACACGCACAGTGGGGTCACATGACAAAGTGGGTGTGGTTTCTGCTAATTACCTGAGATTGGATCTCCTGATATTCTTATTCCCCTCTCCGTTATCACTGGCTCACCAAACTCGTTACCTACGAGGATCAAAGTCAATCTCCATAGCAACAAATGGGTGTTGCAAACCAATATCTGCAGGAATGATGGGCATGGCCCATTCCAGCTCTGCCTTTGTTCTAGGGAAATAGACTGGAAGGACTTTGTCATACACCATCTGCAGAGGAGGCATTTGACACTGTATAGAGCAAGAGATACGAACTCTGACCTCGTTGCTGTCGGCAACAAACACAACAACATCAATGGTGTCTCCATAGTGTTCCAGAAACCTTCGGATGGTACCTGTTGCCATGGTGATGAGAGAGTGAGGAGTGGAGAGATAACTACTTCTTACGGATTGCAATGTGAGCCCCATCCTCGGGAGGGTAACCACGGCGACTGGAGTTGAGTGTGCTAAATGCTACGGTAGCTAAGCGACGTTGCCGGACAATCTGCATGACGCTGCGGTAGCAGTTGTAGAGAGCACTCTCGGCAGCTGTCTTGTAACGGATATTGTACCGTGGTCCGACTGTGTGGATGACATGTCTGCAGAAAAACATATATGATAAAGTTTTGATTGAACGAGAGATTAGTAAGGAAAGGTTTCAAGGACAGATTGCCTAAACACTAGTCATGAAATTCATCAGACGGTAGAGAGAGAAAGAACGCTCTTGAACTCATGAGTGGGAATGGGAGGTCAGCAAGGGCTGAGGTAAGAGTATGCAAAAGTTTTATTCCTCAACCTTTTGGCAGTAGGCAGCTTGTACATAGATGTACAACTGACCTTGCAGGTAACTTGTAGGCTCCTGTGATCTTGGCTTCACCTGTCCTGCAGCCTAGGGAGAGAGAGAGAGAGAGAGAGGCCGGGAGGAATCTGCCCGCACCGTGGCTGAGGTGCCACTCACTAATAATTTGGTTCTTGCACTCTTCCTTGAGCTCGGGACCGGCCACCTCCAGCAGTCGAGAGCTGACTGGGTTCTTGTCAGACAGATTCTCATTGGTTGGATTGACAACTACCTCCACTGACAGACTGGCCACATCTCCTGCCCTGCAACCAGGGACGGAGAGACAGGGGAAGACAAGAGGGGAGGGAGAGACAGGGAAAGACAAGAGGGGGGGAGGGAGAGACAGGGGAAGACAAGAGGGGGGGAGGGAGAGACATGGCATGTGAAATGTGACTGGTGCAAAGCTAAGGATGGGGCAAGTTCCACCCCTTTTGAAGCCAGATAAGAGGGAGAAGCTGTCATGGGGCAGCCCCAAACCTGGTAGACAGAGAATCCTTACCACAGAGTTATCTTGTCATTCAGGTCCGCCCGCACAGGGAAAGGATTGATCACGTGAGCGTTTGGCAAGGTCTGCGGGTCCAGTTCAGGGAGAACCTCGTGTTCCGTGGAGCTCCAGCGAGGAAGAGACTTGGCGTCAGTGAACTCGGGCCGCGCACCCAGCAAATCAGCCATCACAGTACCAGCTACTAGCTCTGAACACAAGCACCGCTCTTTTCTTCAACAAGAGAGGTCACCTGACGCAATGACGTCACTAAAAGAAGGTGCACGTTAATTAGAGCTATACGCACGTGTGGATTTCTCTGAGTTGCTGGAGATGAGTAGCTACAAGAGTGGGTTTGGGAATGGAGGAGTGGATTACGGGGCATCTCAGGAGAAGGGGCGGGTTATGGAGCAAGTGCGGAGTCAGATTGCAGTTGCTAACCTGCAAGAGATGATAATGGTGAGTTGATAGTGGCCCCCTGGCGACATACTATCTTCTTCCTTTCAGAAAATGTCAGACAAGTGTTTCAGAAAGTGTGTAACATCACCTAGTACCAGTCTTGAGAGCCGTGAACAGGTTGGGGGTCTTGTCACAAACTAATGCTTATTATGAGATCTTACGATGTCTGTGTTTGCAGAAGTGTCTGGGTACCTGCATGGACCGGTACATGGAGACATGGAACATCGTATCTCGAGCGTATTCTGACAAACTGCGCAAGGACAGCGGACAGCACTAGCCACAACACTGTATAATACTGTTGTATTGTGTGTCGATGTATACATGTTCAATTCTCCTGCACTATGTGGTCTTCCTATCATGAGCACGGTGTCCTCTCCTGCTGTCCTCATTCTTTATAAACTCTTGCACATCATCAGTGAGTTTGAGAGGTGGGATGACCACGCCCACAGCTGTTTCCACTTTCGGAGTGACCATCTGGCGATGAACCACCTGTACATATGACATCATATGAATTACACAACTGTTCTATAGTACATGTAATGACTAATCTTTCCCCCGTATTATCGCTCCAAAAGATAATCGCGCTAAATGCACAATGTAAAACTGCTGGGAATTTCTTACTAAGATGCAAGCTGTACATTATTGTAGCTGACCTCAGAGTTCCAGTGTCGACCAACGGGTGTGGCTTGAGCTCTGGTGAACTGCTGGGGAGTACTATATGGCCATGGCAACCGCTTCACCTGTGACATCAGGAAATGCATCACCATGAGAACAGAATGCACTGAAGTGAAAACCCTCGGTGCACTGACGGGCTGGACTATGAGTGTGTTGTATGCTCGTGGTCTGCTAGAAGCTGGCAGAGAGTCCGACAGAGGCTAGCTACACCAGCATGCCGGGAGTCAATCCTGGAGGCAAGCAGACTCCTGTGCTAATTTGCATATTGGCCATTTCACTTGGTTTCCATGCCATAACTCTCGAAGGCAGTACTTTTACGAGAAAACCCCCAAATTTGAAATCAGGCCACTGTAGTGGTATTGCTCTTTTTTGGTCTCATTGGGTATATATGGTGGCAGAACATGTGGTAACAGACAGACTCACGAACAAGTACGTAACCCTCACTGCACATGACAACAACACACTCCTGTTGTTGGCTTACTAGATGTTTGTTGAGTTTTCCATTTCCATGGTTACCAATGATCACATGACCAGGTTCCCGGTCGCTGCGTGGCTTTCTCGTAGTCTTTTGAGAAATTTCCAACTTCTTTTTCTTTGTCTTCACTCCCTCTCCACCCCACGATCCCCAACCTGTATATACACACATACAACCCTAATATAATGTCGGTATAATTTTGCCAATATGGTATATATATAAGACTGTTCTCTGCCGTAACAACATGTGCATCACATGGTGTAATACCTTCTCTGCCGTAACAACATGTGCATCACATGGTGTAATACCTTCTCTGCCGTAACAACATGTGCATCACATGGTGTAATACCTTCTCTGCCGTAACAACATGTGCATCACATGGTGTAATACCTTCTCTGCCGTAACAACATGTGCATCACATGGTGTAATACCTTCTCTGCCGTAACAACATGTGCATCACATGGTGTAATACCTTCTCTGCCGTAACAACATGTGCATCACATGGTGTAATACCTCTCTGCCGTAACAACATGTGCATCACATGGTGTAATACCTTCTCTGCCGTAACAACATGTGCATCACATGGTGTAATACTACCTTCTCTGCCGTAACAACATGTGCATCACATGGTGTAATACCTTCTCTGCCGTAACAACATGTGCATCACATGGTGTAATACCTTCTCTGCCGTAACAACATGTGCATCACATGGTCTAATACCTTCATGTTGACATTTACTTCAAGGTCCACAAAAAAGGTGTGTGTGGGGACTGACCTGGTAGCACGTCCAGCTGAAAGTTCTCTCTCCCTGCTTCCTCTTCCTCCCTCTCCCTCTCTCCCTCTCAACTCCCCGACCACATCATCCCCAGCAAACGCCTCGTGGACTTTTAGCAGCTGCTGGCTGGCCACACCCAGAGCCCCGCCCACCTCGTCCCGGGGAGTGAGGTATGCAGTCGGGTCTATCATTGGTGGACCTGTCTTCTCCTTCCTCGCCCCAGAGGAAGTGACATTCGTTTGCTGACAGGAAGTGATGTCATCCAATTGAGGAGGGGGTGTGGCCTCAGAATGTTCTTCTTCCTCAATAAGGTGTTGTGAGGGGTCAACGTTTGATCTTTGTTCCTCCATCTTGCCTTCATCTGCAATATCACAATACACACTATATGTACTGTATGTAGCTGTCGCACACACCCATACATAAACACCCACAAAAACTGAACACGAAAAGTTTACATCAACCAAACATTTGCCTACTACAACTGATGGTTACCTGTAGGTTTAGCAGATCGGAGCCAAGGGTTGTCGTGGTGAAAGTAAGTTGAGGAACTATTATTCTCCTCTTCTTCCTCCTCTTCCTCTCCCTCACTCTCGGGGGTAGAGAGATGTTGTTTGAGTGTGTGGCCTCTCCTGCTGTGCTCACTGAGGGCAGCTCTAGCTGCAGGGTCCTTCCTGCCTCTGGCCAGCACCTCTCTCGCCCACTTCCCCTGGCGACTGTGTTTAAGAGTCATCCTTTCTCTGGCCCTTAGCTTCTCTGCTTTTTCCCCCTCTACTTCCCCCTCTCCTTCCTCCCTGGCCTTGTCTCGACGTCTTCTCTGCACCTTATGGAACCTACACACAGAAAGTGGTTATAACCACCTCAGCATTGTTTAGATAAGGTATATAACCTGCCGTTATTTTTTTGCATACACATAAGCATAACTCTTTTGGAATTTTATTCAACCCTAGATTTTATGATTTTTGCCTAAAACAATCCATAGCTAAGATGGTGCAAAACATATACATGTACTTTTCTCTTGGATTGCCCATTACCAATTATGCATAAAGCCCTATGTATGTTCATTCTGCTTTAGTGTCAGAAAAACTAGCACCACAAAACTACCACTCTTCATGTTGAGTTTGTGCACTATAGTGAAGAAGATTATCCACTTTCAAGTGCTTCCATTAACCCTTCGGCGCAGCGAAGGTTAAAGTACTAGACTAGCAGCAGAACACATCTTTTAGTGGCCCACGCATGTGTGGAAGAGGTTTGCACTTGATTTTCATTTTCCCAGTTCTCACATTGTAGTGTAAGTCTCAAACAATAAAAATTAACTCGACACAATTTGCACAGTGAAACTTTCACGCTGTATACTGTCTCACCTCCTGCTCTTTACCCTTCTCTCTCTCTGGCACTTGGCCTCGTACTGCGACATGAGCATCCTCCACCGTCGACCTTCCCTCACCCTCTCCCTCCCCTCCTCACCCATCACCTTCACCAGCTTCTCCCTCTCTGCCGCAGTCAGCTCTGCATCTGTTGCCTCGACGACGGCCTCACTCCTCCCCAGAACCCCCGCCACAGCCTTCTCCAACTCTGTCACTGCCTGCACACCGTCACCACACACACCATCACCAACACACACGTTAGGCAATCACATCCAAACACCACTCCACACATGAAAAACGAAGGTTACAAGCCAAGATTTGGGAAAATAGAACAGTTATGCATGTGTCATCAACATCATGGACAAACGGAAAATGAAGCAACTATACCCAAACCAATTCTTTTGTAAAAGCTGTCCTGAACTAGCGACAATAATTTGCACTATTGTGCAAAGTTCTCAAGTCCAGTCAGAGGTGTGCTGGTGTACCTGAAAGTCTTGGACGCGAGAAGAAAGAGAAGGAAGGGGAGGGGCTTCTTCCTGGAGAGGGAAGGACAGGTGAGAGGTCTTCCTGTTGTGAGTTACCACTGGTAACCACTTCCCAACGTCCCTGCAGGCAGATGAGTAGGCCACTGCTCTGTGGGTCTGTAGAACACACACATACACAGAGGTCGGTTAGTGGAAACAATTGTGCATAATAATCTTCAGGGATTAATGAGATTTCAGGAGTTACGTTCAAAAAGCCTTGACTAATAACCTTCTCCACTTGTCCAGTGGTTGCTGGGGGAGACAGCTGGTGGCTGGTGGGTGTGGCCAACTGTCTGCGGAGAGTCGCTACGTCAGTCCCCGTGCTCTCCACTCCCCTCAGCAACCCTCCCACCTTCACCTCTTCACCTGTCACATGAGGCAAATATACACACACCCGCCCAGCTTTACTTCCTCACCATTGGTGGACGACTGAAACTGCGATACATTGGGTGTGGCCTCACTTCTCTGGCCACGCCCCTTCTGACGATCCAGACCACTGATTGCAGAGAGTAGTTGGGAATGACTCTTCTCACCCTCTTCTTCATCTTCCTCTTCATTTTCTTCCTCTTCCTCATCTCCCTTCTCTTTATCGCCACTTTCTTCCTCTTCCCCATCTCCCTTCTCTTTATCGCCACTTTCTTCCTCTTCCCCAGCACTACTGTCAGCATTACTGTCAACCTCCACACAGCTCACACCTTCCTCCCCTCCTCCCCCTCTTCATGGTCAACACGTGGGCATTTCCTAAGGTATTATATCACCTCTACACAGAGAAGTAACCGACATTCAGTTACAAACCTCTTCGAGGCTAACATTGCACCAAGTATCTCGATCCTTCTCCTCCTCAAAATCTCCCTCATAACGCTCGGCTTTCTTCTCCGTATCATCTTCTACCCTCTGAACAGTCTGACAGACTTTGGACTAACGCACGCGCGCACCATAGCGCATGCGCAGTTTGCAACACGTCAGCCATTCCCCCTTTTTGCAGGCAACTCGCAAAGTGGACGTCAGTTCTAGCACCACCAAAATCATGAGCACTGCCACTGCCGAGAGAGGTTCGGAAAGAAAACGACATCGTAGAACCACAGATGAGGAGGCGAGTAACTGGACGCTCGGTCAATCCTTCAATGCCGGCCAACGCTCGGAGCCTGTTCGCACAGGAGGGGAAGAAGACCGGAGCTCCGACCTTCCTCCTCCTCCTCCCTTCATCTCCAAGCTGCCTGCAGCCGTGGCTAACGTCGAGGATGTGAGGAGCTACTTACACTCCAAGAGAGTGACCAACTACCTGGTGGGCAGCACGCTCGGGGAAGGCTCATTCGCCAAAGTCAAGGAAGGTTTCCACGTTCTGGTGGGAGAAAAGGTAGCTAGATCTGGGCTGGACACGTATTATCAGCCAGTCGTATTACTATTTCCTGCAGGTTGCAGTCAAGATAATTGACAAGAAGAAAGCCCAGAAAGATTCGTATGTGAACAAAAACTTTCGTCGTGAGGCAAAGTTGCTGCAGATGGTCCACCATCCCAACATCCTGCAGCTGCTGGAGGTGGTGGAGACTGACAATTCATACTACCTCATCACTGAACTCTGCTCTGGTGAGTCTCCTGTGCATGCATAGTGCGAGAAGTGAACAGACTAAGTGACTGACTGGGTATGGTGTGTTTGTCAGGCGGTGAACTGATGGAACATATCTACAAGGAGCGGCAACTTAGTGAGGAGGAGACAAGGAGGTACATGAGGCAAATGGTATCTGCAGTTGACCATATGCACAGAGCAGGCATCATCCACAGGTACTTAGTCTGTTATATAAATTCATATGTTCTTGTGTAATGTAGTACACCATAATACTTACATATACATAGCAAAAGACACCTCAACATTGCTCTAAGATGAATACCTAATTGTCATGAATTCCAATTTCCTGTTTGTGACTCAGCATTGTACACATTTTACCGCCGTACACATTTTACTGCCCTACACTATATAATTATAATAATAGCAGTTCATGTGTGGTCATGTCTGTCTTTGCACTTTCACACTGAAACTGCTGATTTCTAGTTACAAGTATTATAGCATTATTAACGAAACGCAAGGTCACCTTATGTACTCCCACATTCTCTTAGGTCTTCTGAATATACTCTGCACTTACACACCAATCTCTGTACTAGTCTATTCATAAGTGGTAGATAGAGCAGAGAAATTGGATTCACTGACATGTTGCATGCCTGACTCGTGTATCTGCTCTGAGGGAGGTCCACGTAACTTTCTGGATAACAGCTCCCCTGTCTTAATAGTTGTGTCTAGGCTAAAGTAACTCTATTGCCTAGACCACTTAACCCTGACTGTCTGAACTTAACCCTGCACCATAAACTTCCATTACTTCCTCCTCTGAATATTGTTTTCCCTCCCACACACTGTCTGGGTTCAGGGACCTGAAGGTAGAGAATCTTCTGCTGGACACTCAAGGAACTGTGAAGATCATTGACTTTGGTCTCTCCAATGAGGAGTTCACTCTGGACGAAGGTCAGAGGGTCCACTGCAGTACACAGTGTGGCTCTCCTGCATACGCTGCTCCTGAACTACTGGGCCACAAGTACTATGGACCTGAGGTGGACATCTGGAGCCTGTGAGTGCCTCTTTAACACTCACACATTTAACACTCATTTACAACACTAATTAACCGTCCCTGATCTCTGTCTCTATGTTCAGGGGAGTTAACATGTATGCCATGCTGACTGGCTGTCTGCCCTACACTGTGGAGCCATTCAACATTACTGCTCTCCATGCCAAAATGCTGGAGAACAAAATGAACCCAATTCCATCCAATCTTTCTCCTGGTAAACCCTGCCTGCACCTGTTCACAAGATAGCAGTAAATTATTCTCTATTCACTTTGTATGCAGAATGCACTGATCTCTTGCATGGGCTGCTGACATCTGACCCAGCCAGTAGGATTAAGATGCCAGCAATCATGTCACACCCATGGATTGCAGCTAATGGTAGCTCCACCCTAAAGCCACATCCCTATCCCAACAAGCTTTCTGCGAATGACATCAATGAGGACATTGTGGAGCACATGGTCCATGTTCTCAAGGTATTCTTAACCATACACTGTAGACACTGCTTACTTCATGGGATCAGTAGATTTTCATCAAAACTTCCGAGCTCATGTGTTTCATGGCTCATGAAAACGAACACTCACCTGTGCTTTTAGACATAGACTGGAGCATAGCATGTCGGACACTTCAAAACTGACACAACTTGGAAACTAATGTCGAGAGACCTAACCAGCATCTTATAACAGAAACTCGAACACGGCTGGTGAAGGCTATTGTATGATGGAATGCTGGACAAACCAACCTTTACAGGCACGCTGTGTCTACAAGGGCTTCCAATTGTATTCACAAACCTCTACCTAGACAACATGTAGCATTATCTACAACGTGTGTATCTCTAAGTGTTCACATTGTCCGTCTACAGTTGAAAGAGAGAGAAGAAGAGGTTACAGCAGAGCTGCTAACAGACAGAGCATGCGCTTTGTCAGCTGTCTACTATCTCCTGCAGGCCAGACTAGACAGGTAGATTGCTTAAGAACACATGAGCATTGCCAACCGTCGCTCTCTGGCATCCGCTCGCCAAAAATGCTTGTTTTTTTTTAACATGCAGCATGCATGTATCCTGAGTACCGCACCACCAACAAAGTGACAGATCTATCTCACAATTGCATAGGTATAATCTGAGCAAAGCAAATGTGAAACTGAAGAAAAAGTCAAAGTACGAAGTGCCCAATGGACACAGGCCTCCCTCAAGAGATTATGACTGTCATTCAACCATCAGCCACCCTGTCAGAGGAGGGAGAGTAAGTGGCCAGCAATAATATAATGTAGCAAGCAATGATGTAATTGGTTGCTCTCTCTCAGGAGAATAAGGTTCAGCTGCGGCCAGTGACACGGCAGAAGGCGCCGGGAGGAGGAGAGGGAGTGGATGGAGGCTCAAGACTCAGAGAACGCAGGAAAACTCTACCTTCAGAGTTACTGCAGGCTGATATTGACAAGTTATGCCAGTCTGACAACCTTCCTCGTAAGTTGCATCCACGCATCTTGTGATCTGCATTTCAGTTCCACTGTCCCCACATCCAGCTCTGCAGAAGAAGACAGGGACTTTGCCACGCTCACTGAGGAAGAACGCTGTGCTAGCCCAGCGAGGTCCTCATGGCACAGCAGCTCTTCCGAGACCCATGACTCACCTGAACCCTGTCAGACCTCCTCCCATCTTCCCCACCAGTATCTCCCACCCCAGAGACCTCAACAAGCTGAGGCAGGAGATGAACAGACATGCTTGGGTCTCCCAGCCCCCCTCCCAGGCCTCCCTCACTGGGTCAAAACGACAGACTTCTCGCCCTGCATCTCGCCAGCCTTCAGCCGCCTCAAGCAAGCAGAGCAACCGACTATCCTGTCCCGACTACTATGATGATCTCGAGTTCCACGAAGTGGAGTCAATAGCATCTTCCTCGAGGCAGAACTATGGCCTGAATAAGGCTCCCCACAGCACAGCTGATGGTGTACATTTCCCTTCCCTTGCGCCCCACAGTAATCGAGGTAATCATCAGAGGAGCCGGTCGCACGAACACAGAGAACACACCTCCCCTGTCAAACACCCTCCCCGCACTAATGGACACTGGTCTCCCAGTAAACAGTTCGAATTCTTTAGCAAGATCTCCACCAGTGGACTGTTGGCTGAACTGAGTCGAGTGGCAGAGAGCCTCAACATCAGCTGCACTGGCCACAAGGGCCACACAGTGTACCTCAAGAGCCAGAGCACCAAGTTCCAGGTCCATTTGGACAAGGACAGTGCCCACAGTGTGTGTCGACTGGAGTTCCAGTGGCTGCAGGGAGGGAGCCAGGAGCGCTATACAAGACTCTGCTCTGACATTTTCCTCTCTCTTTCCACATGACCTTTCGCTTGCCTTGTTTATGAATTTCTCCGTGTTTTTGTGGTTTCATGTGTGCATATGTATCACTCACTATCAGTCTAATATTATTGGTGGATTCTCATTACAAAGTCATGATGAAATACACTCCAGCCAGTGTCTCCCTTGTTTGCTATCACAACCCACTGCCCAGTCAGACCTTAAGAGCCAAACTCCTCCCTCCTTCGCTCCATCTCTCTTCTTCTCTGTAACTCTTGCCCCTCCCTTGTGCCAGACATACAGACCGGCAGACAGAGCCTTGTGAGTGCAGGATCCAGCCCTGCAGGCAATGTTGTATGGTAGAAGGCTGACTCTCAGACCATTGTGGCACTCTCCCTGCACAGAGTGAGAGAGAGATCCAAGGTTCCTGGATGGCAGACTCCACTTCACTCCTAATGCCTGGAGGCCATAGTTCATCTTCCCCTGATCACTGAAACTGGCTGTGGCAACTCTACTCACAGCCTCCCAGAACTCCTCTGCATATTACAGACTCAGCAGTGAAAACAAAGGGTGGCAATAACGGGGTATATACCAGTGGCAGAAGAGCTGCGGACCACCAGCACTGCAGTGCAGAGAGTGATTCCCCATCGTTTGGTCAGGTCCGTTGGAAACCTTCCAAATGTCCCAATTATGTCTTCGTTGGATCTTAGCAGTGGAAAAGGGTCCCTCAGGAGGACTGCATCAGTGTCGAAATTGAATACATTGTATCCCCAGTGATTGAGGAGCCTGGGGTGTGGAGACAGCTTGTATTATCACCAGCCACTCTGCCCACAGAGGTATACTCTACACCTGATGATGGAGAGTCTGGTCATCATCACTGTGGGAAAGACTCCCTGCCTCACAGCAATGGCTGTCAGGAAAGACTGAGGTCTGACTAGAACACTAACAATTCCTTTCTCCTGCAGTAGAGAATGCAGCCCTGTGTCCATGGCTATCACTAGAACCTGCAATTGAGAGAAGCTGTTGTATGGACGGATATACACTATTAAAAGAGAGCAGGTTACCTGAGAGAGGTCAACTGATGATCTAGTGACTGCTGCGATAAGCCAGTTGAGTAGAACCTAAGATGCAAGAGTAATTGCAGGAAGATCATCAGCCAGTGCTAGTCCATACCTCAGTGTAAGGCTGATTGGAGGTTAGAATGATCACTTCTCGGGAAGGCAACTTTAGTAGGCAGCCCTGCAGGTCTGCCAGCCATTTGTCTCTTTTCATAGCCTTCACAGCTCGAGGCTGAGGCCAATGAAAGGCTTGGTTGATTGTCCATGATTCTGAAAGAGTAGGTTTACTGGACTGCAGCACTCCTCCATTTGTTTTATTGTTTGTATCATGTTGGGCTCTGTCTTTCAGGGTTGCCTTATGCATAGAAGTGAAGTTAGCAATGTGAGTCGCCTTAGTGGAAAAGACAGGAGTGCTGGTAGCAGTCTCAAATAGAGTGTGAGAGCCAATCTTCCGATTTCTCTGAAGCCTCTCACTGGCTGTTGTCGTAATGTGAGACGGATGACGAGTCTCAGGCTGTCCAGAAAGGAGGTATACTGCAATGTTGTAGACCGTTAGGAAAAGTATTAGCAGAAGGGAGACAATTGCTACAGTTCTCACTAGTGAACACAAGATACTGATGAGTCGCATGACTTACTGATTGTATAGCTAGCAACTTAGACCGGAGGTCGGAATGCAGAAAGTGAATTCCACAGAAACATGTTTGTTGATGAGGTGAGATGAGTCAGTGGAGATGCAGTTGAGGCCAATGCTGGTAGTGTGTGTTGCCATTGCCAGTGGACTATTGTCAGGGGTTCACCTCTACCTGGTCTCCAATAGAGGTCACAAGTATATCAGTGTGGCCCTGGAGATCCCAGTAGAGAGAGTACAGGGTTCAACCAATGTGCAGCTCAACATTCATTCAGTGGGAAATAGTGACAGTTGGAGAGAAGATGGCAAGGAGACAAACAATGAGTCAGAAACTCCACATCAGAGCAGTAAAACAGAGACCAGTGTCCAGATTCCATTTGACCACTACTGGGGAAAGGGTGAGGGTGTGTGGGGTGAGGTAGGGGAGGATGAGGACGAGGAAGATGTTATTTTCGATGATGATGAGGAGGAATATGAGGTGCTATTGGACACAGGTGAGTATGAGTTGGAGGAAAAAGATATGGATACGATTGAGGTGGAGAGTGAGCCCAGCCCCCCTCCTCTAACTCAGAGACACACAAATAATCACCGGAAAAAGAGGAGAGAACATTATATGATGAAATCATCTGTAGCTGGAACTTATTCTAGTCACATGGCAGAGACCCAAGAGCAGATTGGAGTACACGATGAACCAGTAACAGATGGGGCCAGTGACGCTGGTGGTGGGCAGACAGAGAAAGGTACAGCTGAAGACTCTCTAGTCCGTAAAATTGAAAGAGAACAGGTCAAAGGCCCGTTTGCAATCTCCAAAGAAGAATACTATGCAAGGCAGGCCACTCTCACTCGTCCTCCCCCCATCACCCACTCTCCTCATCACCACACTCACAAGAACCACACCCACACATCCTCACAATGCTCACAGCCGCCATGTCTGCAGTTCCTCTCAGCAGAAGAGAGGTTCATCTTCCACAAGTGCCAGAAGAAAACTGTGCCTAAGAGCAGTCACAAGAGTATTCCAGCCTGCAAGTGTAAGTTTAGGAGTGGGGTTGGGAAGAAGAGAGTGGGTTTAGTGAGTCTGCCAGGCTCGGGGAACACTTGGGTGAGAGGACTGCTGGAGAAGGCCAGTGGTTTGTGTACAGGTGAGCCAGTGTTGCTGTGGTGGGTGTGCTGAAGCTGACTGGTGTTCTCCTGCAGGCTCCATCTACTGTGACAGGACTCTTAGAGAAGGGGGATTCTGTGGAGAAGGCCTGAGAGGTAGCAGTCTTGTGGCAATAAAGACTCACGATTCCTCTCTGCAGTGGAGAGGAGGGAAGAAGACAGACTCCACCAGACCTGTCTTTGACAAGGCCATCCTCCTCATCCGAAACCCATTCCAAGCCAACATAGCAGAATGGAACCGACTGGTCTCCAAGAAGCATGCATCTGACCAGACAGGCAGCAGTCATGTCAAGTATGTCGCCAATGAAGCCTTCTTTGGTGAGGGGAATTCACTAATTATGAGAAGGGGTTTACTCTCAATATTATTGTAGGGAGCCAAGGAGGCTGGAAGGCTCAAGTGAGATATCTGACTCACAAATGGCGGCTAATATTAGGGAATAATCTGAGAGCCCAGGCAGCTGGACGACCAGTGCTCTCTGTGTTCTTTGAGGATATCAAGACAGACCCCGCCCCCCAGCTCTCAAGGATGATGGAGTTCCTTGAGCTACCTGTCACTCCAGCTATCATCAATGCAACTGTCACGGTAATCACATTCTTATCTTTAACTATTATGAAACTTGTGTGGATTACGTTTGCACAACAGGATGGGTTCACCTCTTACTACCGAAACCACACAGACCATTTCGATCACTACACGGCAGAGCAGAGGATGTTTGTTAACAATGTCATATCCAGTACTGCTGATGCACTGCAGGACATGGCTGATGACATTGCCAAAAGACTCAGAGAGTACATTCACCATTAGAAATGTGATGACCAAAAAAGTAGTTTCCAACCGCGCCGCGCACGACGTACGTACACGTACATACGTACGTGTACACACGTACACATACGTACATGTATGTATGTGTACCCGGCCCGCGCGCCGCGGCCGCTTGTGTGACGTCATAATGACCTTGAGTCAGGTGTTTGCAATTGCTGCTGTGGGTTGGTTCGTGTGGCGGCAAAGCAGGCTGGGGCGGACAGCCAAACCGGAAACAGAGTCGAGTGGAATTTTCATGACTGCCTACCCCAGCAAGCAAAATTATTACCAAATCGCCAGAGAAGTGAGTGCCCCTTTGTCTGTTTGTGCGCTTCTGCTGTTTGTCTGTGCGTCTGAGCTATTTATAGAGCGGTTCGTTCCGTTACGGTGCCGTTTCCCGCTTGTACCAGCCTGATTTCTGTCTCCCACGCCCTGTCCACGTCACTGGCGCCTTCTACGGCTCAGTTCAGCTCTGCCCTGGCTCGCACAGAAACGCGCGAAAGAGAAAATTTCAAGTGTGGTAACTGCGACACTTCTACCGCTCATCCCACACCCTTCTCTATGTTCTCTTGGCCGTTAGTTCTTGCCGTTCCGTTCGTTTCTCTCGTAGCCGCCCTTCGTTTGCACCAGCGACTCGGGGCGTTTGCCAGCCTGCGCTAACTGCGCCGTGTCTCAACGAAAAACGAACGAGAAGGCAAGTTTGGCCCCTTAGTTTTGGTGGTCCAACCGAGCCGGTTTTTTTTGCGGCTGTTCAGTGTGCATGGAGCTAGGAGGTGGCGCGCTATGATACAGGTGTGTGTATATATAATTTAGGGTGAAGGTTAGGGTCATAAGATCTGGATCTCAGGCCACAGGAACATCAACCTGGTCTCAGGTAGTGTAGCCATACTTTCTGAGAACTCACTCCATGTATTGGGACAAGGGCTTTGGAATGTGGTCAAACAGGTTGGTGTAGTGAATTGACTGGTTTGACAACTTTCCATGTTTGGGTGCGTCAATTAGTGTCTTGTTCGGCTCAAAGTAAACTGCGATGGTAGCAGTGATGAAAGATGTACACTCACGCACACACACATTAGGGGAGAGTGCATGTCAGGTGGAGGGCGGCCACCAAACTCCGCCCCCTCTCTACCCCTCCACTCTTCCTCCTCGGGCTCCCTGGGCAGTCTGCAGACCCCTGACACCTCATCCCTCTTCCTTTCTTCTCTTGGGAGCCATGCCAGGCCTCGCACTGCCGAGTTCACCAGTCTCGAAGACCTGCTCAACTTTTCAGGGATAGCACAGCAAACCTCCTCTCTGGAGGTTCTGGCCCGTGACCTAGAGCAGAAAGGAGGTAAGTGTGTACCACAGGCTCAGGACGAGGGTGAGGTTTCTCGTTTCCCGCAGCTGCATCTGCTGGTCCTCCGGAGCCCAAACGACTCTGCACTGATGTCACATCTCACTCCTCTCCTCTCTCCCTCTCAGCTAACAATGCTGCTTCAACAGTTGTAGTTTCCCCTCTTCCTCAGCCAAGGACCTCTGCTGCTCCTCTCACCAGAAATTCCCCCACATCGTCTGTCGCCATCCCAACACTGTTCCAAACCTCTCGACCCAGCATGCCAGTGGTGCAGTCCACAACTCAGACTAATCTGACTCCCACAACTACAAGACCAAGTCTAGCAGGGACTCCCCTACTTACTGGCAGTACTGTGAGACTGGTGACTGGGTCCACTACTTCCTCACTCTTACCCCATTCTTCTTATTCCATCAACCCCCCTGTCATACCCTCAGGCATTCCGTTCCCCACCTGTCTTCCTTCTTCTCTCTCTACCTTGACTGCCATCACAACCTCACCAGTTGTTCCTAGTGTTCTCGCTCAGTCTACGACACTCACTTCCTCTGCTACCATGCCGCCTCACACCTTCTTTCCTTCCTCAACCTCTCTCCAAATTCCTCCCTCCACATCAGCCAGTACATTCTCTATATCTAACACATCCACTACCTCAACAGGTAGTGCTGGCACCAGAACAAACCCACCAGGTGCTGCTCCAACCTCCCTCCCTTCTCTGCCTGCTAGTCCAGCTCAGCGAGCTCTTCTGGTCCAGCTGGTGCAGGCCTACAAACAATGCTCTGCTCTGGGGGACACACAGGGCCAAGCAAAAGTGAAGGCACAACTAAACCTCCTTTTACAAGCTCAGCAGAAAATAGCTGCCATTTCTCCAACCAACCACACCAACTTTTTGCAGACCAAAAATACTGCGTCTTCCCAGCTTACTGTGACCTCTCCACTGGCAATACAGCCAGTTACAATGGCCCCCACCTCCAGCACTTCACTATCACAGTTCTCTCTACTGAACCCTACCAGCACATCTGTACCGAACCCTACCAGCACATCTCTACTGAACCCTACCAGCACATCTCTGCTGAACCCTACCAGCACATCTCTGCTGAACCCTACCGGCACATCTCTACTGAACCCTACCAGCACATCTCTACTGAACCCTACCGGCACATCTCTGCTGAACCCTACCAGCACATCTCTGCTGAACCCTACCGGCACATCTCTGCTGAACCCTACCGGCACATCTCTGCTGAACCCTACCGGCACATCTCTACTGAACCCTACCGGCACATCTCTGCTGAACTCTACCAGCACATCTCTGCTGAACCCTACCAGCACATCTCTGCTGAACCCTACCAGCACATCTCTGCTGAACCCTACCAGCACCTCTCTGCTGAACCCTACCAGCACATCTCTGCTGAACCCTACCAGCACATCTCTACTGAACCTTACTGGAACGTCCCTTTTGCAGTCACCTCAACTCACATTTTCCCGGCTAACAAGCTCTGCGAAAGGGGTGGAGCCTGTTGCCATGGAGTCAGTATCAAACTCTCAGAAGCAAGGATTCCAGCCGAATTCCACCTCTCCCTCTACCCACGCACTCACAACACTCACTCCTATCTCCTCCCAAGCCAGAGGTAAGTGTAGCTGTGTGTCCTCAGAGCGTGCTCCCAGTCAGTCCTCTCCCCCAGTGTCGGCTCCATCTGGTTCAGCCAGTGCACTCAAGGCAGCTGCCCTCTACAACCTGCGCCTGAGGCAGCTGCAGCTGTTTCTGCAGAGTCTTCCTGAGGACCAGCGACCTCACAGCATTCCTGAACTCAAAGCTCTCTTGCAGAAGAGCGGAGGACCTCTTGGAGCGCTGGTAAGTCTTTTGGCCAAGTTTCTCTGTTGGCGAGCGAACTAAGCTACCCAGCCATCTGAATTGCATGATTTGTTGATGGCACTGTCACTATGTACACCGTCATGATTCAAAACATGCAGAAAACCACAAAACCTGTTCGCTTTCCAGAGATTCATTGTAGTTTGTTACTCCCGTGGTTTTACTTTACCTAGACTGCAGCAGCTGTCACATCAACAACATCCTCTGCCCCAGTCCCCACTCTGCTCACTTCCTCTCTCCCTCGATCAGCTGCCAGCCACATTGTCCCCACTGTGGGCCAGTGTCTGCCTCAGTTGACGCAGGATCCTCCTGCCACGACCTCAACTCCTGTCACTGCCCCTCCTTCCACAGCTAGCCTCCTGCACAGTTTGGCTCGGGGGAGCATGCCTCTCTCCCCGACCTCTCTGTTTCACTTCACGGGTAGCCATCTATCTTCTGCCTCGCCTTCTGCCTCCTCCCAATTGCCGACCTCAACCATTGGGACTGCTGGGACTATTGGGACCACTCCACCGACCACTGGGACCATTGTGTCTCTACCATTGACAACTAGGACCAATGTACCATTTACAATTGGTACCACTTCAACACCACCACTGACCACTGGGACTACTATTACACCACCACTGACCACTGTGACACCACCCACTGGGACCACTGCGACACTACTGACGACTAAACAGACAAACTCTCAGCCTGTATCCGATGTAAATAAGAGCCTCACCAGCATCGCCAATAGTGAGCCAATCAAGCCAGGGGTTCCCACACCTCTCCCCCCTGGAGTGAACCCAGAGACACTGGGAGTGCTGTGTCGGATGCCAGACTCTGACCTCCAGAAACTGAAGCTACCTCCTGTGCTCATGACAGCAATCCGAGTGTGGAGAGGACAGCAGAGCACAGGTCTTCACCGAGGACGCAAGGTTAGTCTTCCATTTTGATTATCAGATGATATAACATCTTATTTCTGCAGCCGGTAGGTAGTCAGGCTGTGCCGATCATCATCCCTCCCTCCACCTCTTCCTCCTCACATCAGGTACACCAACTATGTAAGTCTTCTCATCCATCCTCCACTTCTGCTTTCCTGCAGAGCACTGCCACAGCTGCAACATCAGCCCTGACTTCTGCAAGTAGAGGTCAGTCCACCTCGCGACCTGCCACCAGACACCAGGTCAGAGTGGAGCAGAACAAGGCCGAGAAAGACAGACTTGCAGCTCTCAATAAGGTTTGCTTCTCTCTCTGGTGCTCTACTATAATATACTGCTTAATACCTTGAGCCTCATAAATGAATTTTCCATGGACATTTGCAGGTTTTACAACTAAATGTGTGTTTTGCAAGTGAAGTGCAGCATAAGTATAGACAAAACATGAGACAAGATGTGTATGTATGTATTTGCAGGTGTTACAATCATCAGAAGAAGCTCGAATAGCCTACAGGTTCAACATGTTGAGAGACAAGATGACCAATCAGCTGATGGCGCCAGATAGCCACACCCCCTTCAAGAGTCTCCATGACGTCATTGCGCGACTCCTGCCGTACCACATGTGGAGTGAAGCTGAGCCACCTCCTGGGGCCATCGACAAAGGTCTGTTTCTCCTCAGGACGAAACACACATACACATCTGCTTGGGTGCACCATATAAAGTATTTTTCATAGGATACAGCCTGAATACTGAGCAACTGCATTGGTTGGGACTAGTAGTGCCCCCAACACAATGTATACACCGCTATGATGGTAGTGGTTGACCCCTCCCCTCTTGCTGTGCAGCTGATGCGGTGTACGAGAGTGTGGCCCAAGTTCTGATGTCACGGAGCCATGGGCTGATGAGTAACTACCAGCACCTCATCTATAATGATGCTAGAGTAAGGCTAAGTTCACAATGTGTCTCATTGCCCCATCGCACTGTGCCGCATTGCGTGCTGCCACGAAGATAGAAATGGATTCTATCCTCGCGCCCCACTCTCCCAGTGTGTGTTAATGTCTGTGTGTCTGTTGTCAGAGGGACAGCGAGGCAGTGATGGGTGTGTGTCTGGAGAGACTCTGGCAAGAGTCCGAGAGAGAGAGGAGAGAGCAGGAGAGTCTGCTGAGTCAGCAGGCTGCACAGGTGGCAGCAGGTAGGCTATTGTGTCGGGGCAGAAGATGGTGATGAGACTGTTTCTGTGCAGATCTGATGATTGCAGGGGCTCTTGGTTCAGGGGGAGGTCCCCTCTGTGGCTTCGACTTTGATGCTGAATTTGCATTTGGAGACGTTATGAACTCTGACCCCATGTTGACATTTGAACCTGGCATCACATGATCACAATCACCCTTCTAGAGAGGAATACATGACACAATCTGTACAATATTGAACAGACCTTGTGCAGTGCGCAATAATAATATTTTGTCATTTAACTTGGAACTCTGCTGGCAATCTCAATTGGTCATTTCCTGTCACTAATATTACATTACAGTATCTATGGCAACCAGGTGTGTGCTATAAAGGTGCAAAAAGAGCATAACTTTGCAGAGCAAGTGCATATCTGTTTGTACTAGACCTGTGTCTGGTCGTCATTCGTACAAGTCAAAATGGCGATGAGGTGGTTTGTAATGAAGAGTGTGGCTGTGATTTTGGTGATGGTGAGGATGTCTGCAGCTGCCGTCTGTGAGGTGTGGGAGAGTGTGCCTGCCAAGTAAGTCCGATCTCTCTGCCCAAACTATTGAAGATGAGGGTAGGGCTGACTGTTGTGCATAATTTGTTGTGAGTTGTAAAACATTTTGTAGCTGGCCATTCATAGTCAGTAATACACTGTACGTACATGTCTTAGATGTTTATTGCCGCTGTCAACTGATCTTTCGCCAAGCAAAGTGCTACAAGTACTACAAATGCACATGGTTTCTAAATCGGGTATATATAATTATAATGTATATACAGCAGGTAGCTAAGGGAGGTTTCGTATCATACAAGGCTGGGTTGCTAGGCTGGCGATGATGCTAAGAGATGTGTCTGCAAGGTGGAAGGGTGGATCCACCTTTTCTGGATGTCACCTCTGCCCTGGTCTTTGTCTCACTGTGAACAGCCCACACTGACACCTCCACACCTTCAGTCTGTCTCGCCTCCTAATACTGTTAGCTGCCTAAACCTAGAAACAGTCAAATCTTGTTAGCTTTAAATGCCAGTGTGCCACCCCACCCTCTCTCCTTCCATTCTGCTTCAGTCAGCACATGTGCTACTCAGTCCAGGGAGAGCACCAGGTGGAAGTAATGAGAGATGTACTGAGAAAAAAGTGGGTACTGGAAGAGCCAGAGAGTTGCAAGTCCCCATTCCCCTGTTTTGGAGTGTAAGCTTCTGCCTTGTACTGTATACATATCCCATTAGTTTGTCTGACTGGCAGAGTGCGAGAGGTGGTGGAGGTGGAGAAGGTGTCAGTGACTGTGAGTGTCTGTCAATTGCAGCCCATCTGGAGACAGCCCAGACCTATCAGAGAGACATATAATGGTAGCTAAGCCAACAGACACCCAGTGATGAGTAGCTCTAATGTGTCTCGTGGCTACAGGAGTGACGCTGGTTCTCTCTCCGGGATATCTCACAGAGAGGAACTTCACCAATCAGCTTCTGTGTCTTTGGAACATCTCTTGTAGTGAGGATGAAGTTCTGTTCCTCAACTATACAGAGAGTAGCGACCTTGCCACTCAGTCACCCGGTAATGGTATATATGTTCCACCAGCTAAAGTGTGGGTGGTGTATGGTGAATGTGTAGATGGTTCTGAGTGTGGTGGGGAGTATGTGATGGTGGAATGGGAGGAGGGGAGAGAGGTGAGGTGTGGGGAGCAGAATGGCCCACGGCAACATAACAAAGTCTTCCCTCATAACCTAAAGGTAAGCAAAGTTCAATAATGGCCAGTGAACTATAACTCGCCAGATATTCTGCAGGTGATATTTAGGTCACACATGAGTGGTATATTTGGTAGGGGATTGAGACTTGACACTGCATGCTACGCCCCAACTTCAACTAATGTATGTTCAATCATCTCTGACAGAGTGTGGAGCATACTATTCTGTAGGTGTCTCCAGATGCTAACTGCACCAGTCCACTCCACATTCCCAGCCAAAGCCATGAGGTTTGAACGCAGACCCATTTTGAGCTGATGGCAATGTGTTCCCGTCCCACAGTCTCTGGAGCTGAGCTCTACTCAACAGACGCAACTAAATAACATATTCTCTCTGCACATGGAGCTCCACATGCTGATGGCTGCATGCAGTGGCAGTGTCGAGGAATGTGGTGCCTACTATGGTCATCATGTCAACCCCAGGCTGTCGGGCCAGCTAGAGGAGCTGGCAGGAATCTCTGATACCTGCTGCAGTCCCTTGATCTACAGCATGCAGACAAGGACACTCAGTATGTATGGCTACTAGCCGTGTTGACTTACTCATTGAACTGTACTAAACCAAGAAACAACATGATGTTGATTTTTTTAACCCTTGGTGCGCCTGTTTTTGAGGCTGACATGCAATGGTGTGAGTATTTATACATACACCGAAGAAGGAAGATATTAATTTTACTGAGGTAACCAGATTTTTAAAAACAATAATGGATAACTTTAATGGTGCATAACATTCAGTTATCTATACATTGTTTGAAGCTAAACTCTTTCAGAAGCACCAGGGTTAGCTTTCATATTCTGTGGTGGACATGTTACCATTAGGTATTAAACTGAGCAAGTGAGAAAGAGAAGGAGTCAGGTTGACAAGGCTCTCTCTCTGAACTAGTTTTCTGGAGTGCAGAGAAGAAAGGGTTGACACCACAGGTTGATGCTGGCTCCGAGAGTTCCTTTATTTTGGAGTAGAATGGGTTAGAGATTGGGGAGTGGGGTGGTGCAATCTCCTGTATGGTGGCGTTAGCAGTACCAGTCACTCTGAGCAGACCAGCAGTGGGGCAGGGAAGGGGAGTGATAGTTTGGGCAAATGAACTGGTGGATGTACTAGAACAAAAACTTGACATTTGAACGAGTCGCGAAGTTCGTTCTTCTCTGGTGTCAGTAGAGGTGGAGGCACCTCCATCCCACAGTTCAAAAGACTGGGCTGATACAGAAGTGGCTGCCTGCAGGTGACTAGTTTCAACGACTCTGCTTGCCCTGACTCGCTCCTCTTTCAGTGAAGTCATGCGGTTGGCCACAAGTGTTTGTCTGCAGTCAGTGAGGGGGTCAGCCATCCATCCCTTTCCAACCTCCAACAGCAGAGAAGGCTCTGTGCACAAACATAGTTCAGGACACACAGAGAGAGGGAATAGCAACAGGCTTTACTTGTGATCTTGCGTGGTCTGAGAGTAAGTGGCTTCTTTCGTTTGGGAAGGGGTGCGCCAGGCAAGCTGTCAGGAATACATCGGAACTCTAATAGGAGAAGACAAGTGGTGATGGAACACCATAACACACTCACTCTTTCTCCTGTCAAGACGAATGACTTTTGGTCTTCCAGATTCATCTCTACATCGACTGAGCAGATTGTCAGGCAAGAGAGGGGAGAGGGAGACAGGAGAAAGTGGGAAGGATTCTGTGGTGGGTGTTTCCTTCTCCACAGGTGGCGACTGATGTACTGGAAGGGCAGCAACATCAGGGATCACATCTCTTTCCTCTTCGCTGTCTAACAAGCTGTCTCCCCCTTCGCTGACGGCGTATCTGATGAGTATCGAGTACCCTAAGTTCGACTCAACCAACCCACTCACTTGAGCTCCTCTGAGCATGGAACGTCCAGCAAATATTCGTCTTCACTCGTCATAGTCTTTTTGTGCACGTGTTGGGTGCGAAGGTCATGATCTGTGCGTTGCCATAGCAAATCCAAGGAAAATAACAAGACGAAACGGAGGAAAATGCAAGAGGCTGCTACATTTCTGGCGGAAGAGCGGCAGTAGCGAAAGTGAAGGGTTGTTAAGGACTGTCTATGAGTACGTCGCTTCACAACATGAATGAACGTACAGTTGGGTAAGGTGTTGTGGTGTGCGATATTTAGAATATCGAGCGATCAACTGCAGGCAGGAATCGAGGAGTGCAGTTTCTCTGCGACGTGCGGCGTCTGCCTCTCCGCTGCACTCTGCCAGTGTGCAGGTGACAGATGTCTCCTCTCTCGCTAACCCGGCTCCCGTGGGCGGCAGGACGAAGGAGAACTTTGGCGAAGACTATCTCTCTCCTACTAGGCTGGTGAGTAAACCACGAGATAGGCACGTGGCTGTGGTAACGTTTACTCAGCGGCAGCTCAGTGGGAAGAGGGACCTAGGCCAGGTGAACTACCTGCAGATCTCAGTCAATACCCAGACCAGCAGTCTCGGCAACTTTGGTGGGTCCTCTCGCCCACTCCTATCTTGGTGTCTTCACAGAGAGTGCAGGAGGCAGTGTTCCCAGTCTGGAGGAGCTAAGGTGTGTGGAGAGTGTGGTGCCATGTCTGAGGGACCTGGGGACGAGGCTGGGGAGACTGAAGGTTCTCTGGCTGCCTCGCTGTGAGCTGCGGGACCTCGATGGACTGCCTAGTCTCACTTGTCTGCAGGTGACCTAGTGCCTCACTAGCTTGGGCATTGAAAATGCACAGCTTTTAAGGGGAAAAGCGGACAATAAGTCTTTATGCAAGACAATTTGTGGTGGTGTCAACAATAAATCATTGTAAGCTGTCTCTACAGGAGCTGTACATTTCCCACAATGAGGTGAGAGATGTGAGTCTGGCTGCCATGCTGCCTGATCTAAGAGTTCTCGATGTTGAGAGGTATCATTACACAATCTCCACAAGACAGTGTCTCATGGACTTGAATTCCCAGCAACCACTTGTCAGAGGAGGACCAGCTAGGTTTCCTGGGGCTTTGTACACAGCTCTCCTCCCTCACTCTCACTGGAAACCCTCTCGCCCTCATCCTCTCCTCACAACAGGTCCAGTCTCTCTCTGCGTCTTGCCTGGCACTCAGCCAACCGGCCCAACCCTGTCATCATCTGCCAGGTGGGGTACAGAACTGCTGTCCTGAAGGCAATTCCTCAGCTCAGACTGCTGGATGATATTCCTGTGGGTGTGGTTACTCCACCCACTCCGACCTCAGACCTGTCATCTCAGAGTGTTTGGAGACCTGAGCAGCTAGTCCCAGGAAGAACAGACCCCAGTGAGCGTATTTGGAACAGCGTACACATTGTAGTTCATGTGTTGTCTTACAGAGAGTGTTCCTGCCAGACCAAGAACTGCAGTCTCTTCTGGTGTGTATATGTGTGCATATGTGCATGCATGTGTGTATTTATGGTGCATATGTATGCTTGTGCATGTGTGTGCATCTGTATGTGCATGTGAAGATAAAGATAATACATGTATCTCTCATTAGCAGGGGAGTTAGGCAGTGTGTCACCTTTACCTGATGACAGCAGTGATCTAACCCATGGTCAGCTCCTCTCCTCTTCCCACTGCACTTTCCACTCTATTCTTTGAGAGAAATGTAGCAACAGTTTGCATACTGTCTGTAGGAATGGAAGAGGTGATGTGTGGAAACCCTGTCAGAGCTCTAAAGGCCAGGAGGAGGCGTAGCCTTTCCTCACAGGTTCCCTATCCATCCATAATGACTGTACATGATACTCACACAGTGTCTGTCACCCCCAGAGTTCAGTGACACTGGTGGCTCCAGGCTGGACCTCACCCACCAACACCTTGGCAGAAGATGTGTCTGTTACTATGGCTACCTCCATCGTGGACCTGAGCCATCATTTGACACTCTCCTTGACTCCTTCCCCCCCTCCTTCGTCCCTCCCCACACCACCATTCTCTAGACCTCACTCAGCAGCCACTGACCTCAGACATCGAAGGTACCGTCGTCCAAGCCCCTCACACACCAGGTAAGATCTTCCTGCACTGCACTATGTACTCTACATGCAGTTTCAATATAATGGTACAATGCTCCATGCAACAAGTCACAGAAGCTTTGTGATGCAATGCATTGAAGTAGCATGACACTTTTGTTGTTTGAGGCAACAAATCCTGCCGTGTATGCTGATATTTATGGTTATTTCTTGTTCTTTAGAGCTGGACAACAGTCTCTGGAGATGGGTACTCCTCTTCCTCCTCCCCATGCCCTCTCACCCTCACCCTCTCATTCATCATCTCACACACCTCACAATCTCTTCACACACAATGAATGAAGTACACAATCAACGACTGGAAAGAGTGTTAAGGTCACAGTCTCTTTCTCTTGGAGTGCTGCGGGCGAGGGAGAGGGGAGGGAGTAGGGGAGGGAGAGGTGGAGAGAGGAAGGTAGGCCTCTGGTTCTAGTGACCCTTGCAGTATAGAGTCTGGGAGGTGGAACTCTCTCTCATCATTGGGAAATGGAAACTTTTCAAAGCTATCCTGAGGGGAGGGGGTGTGGTGGGTGTTGGGAGTGAAGTGACTGTCATGACTGACCAAAGTCTTGAGGTCATAAAGACTGTGGAGGTGTTCCCAGATCTGCTCTGTAGTCAGGGAAATACTGTGGAGTCTCTGCAGACGCCACTGTATGCACGCCATGTGGAAGTGCTTGTTCAGTCCTGCAGTTATATTCCCACAGTCAGTGAATCTGGGGAGATTTTTATCTAGAATTCTACGTCCTTCCTACTACGCCTTTCAGACAGTAGCTAGACTTCCTCACTTCTACTACGCCTTGTAGACAGTAGCTTGACAGTTGTAGCTATGTTAGTTCACTCACCCACAGGCTTGTGCCCGTGCATGGAGTGAAAGAGAGCGACTTCCAACTCCGCAGTCCACTTCACCTCGCTCATCCCTAGCAGAGGAGACTCCTCCGGTCCGGCCCTGTCTTGTCGTCTCGGCCCTCAAATGTAGGCGGGGCTAAGCCTTTCACTCTTATTAGTGCGCACCTACACCATGAGCACTGGCGAAGGTCCGGCAGATCCTGGCCTCGTGAGCTCGCCGCAGGCCTCGGGAGTGAAGGTTCTGGAGACACTGAAGAAGCATGTCTTCGAACATTCGGATGCTCCGAGGTACGTCAGCCGCTGGTATCCCTGTCAGTGCTACTGCAGGTTGTCCTCTGCAGCAAAACCCTCAGCAGTCGCGAGGTCTGCAGCTCCTTCTCAGATCTGACGGCAGCCGTCTTCTCCAGCTCCCAGAGGTGAGGCTAGAGACAGAGTGAGGCGGCCATGAGAGCAGTTGTACTCCTCCCAGAGCCAACAGCGGTGTAGTAGTGAGTGGAGCCATAGAACTGCTGGTCCATGCCTGCTCCAACCAAGACCGAGCCATCCGCCTGGCAGGTCAGGAAAACCTCCACAAACTGGTGAAGGTGAGGATGAGATCTCTTGTTTAGCGACCTGTGAGCCTGTGGTGTGGTGTCCATAGAAACTGCAGTCAACTCACCTGTCGAAGCTGCTGCAAGATCTCTTCCATGAGCTCAAGAAAGTGAGGGGACATGAGATCTTCTCTGTCCATCCTCTTACTCCTCTACCTGCCACCAGAATGGCAGTGCCCGATCCCTCAGTGTGGCTCTGGAGGTGTTTGCAGCCCTGTTTCCTCGGACACGGCCATCTCGTCGCCAGGCTCTCTCCCAGTCCCTCCTCCCTGTCCTGCTGCGACTGCTGGCCAGAGACGAGGAGGGACTCCATGAGAGTCTGCAGGACGGCTTGTCACATATCCTCCCCACTCTCACTCCCTTCCTCTCCACCACCAACAACCAGGTACAGTGAAACCTATAAGGTTTAGGGACATTGACGTGTCCCTTATTTGGAAGTAATAATAGAGTACTATAATACTACTGATAAGAATGTAAGAACTTTTGGTGAGCGAAAAAAATGAGTGCGAATATTTTACGTAAACATAACCATATTGAAGACAGTGCCCTGAGACGACTGACTAGGTGGGCTAGTAAAGTGCAGAAATAAAGTCTTATGTGTACATTCAGAGGATCCTTTCCACTGCCTGTTATGTAGTGAGAAATTTTCCAACCATCTTCGTCCCTCACTACAGCTGTTGATGTCTGCTGTTCTGGACCGCCTGCCAGCCAGTCCAGCTAGCTTCCGGAGAATGGCAGCTTCAACTCTTCACAGTCTTTGTGTCCATTCAAAGTCGCCACAGAGCCTCACCTCCTGGCTAGTGGGTCGGATGATCAGTAAGACCTTCTTCCATCCATCGCTATCTTGACTCTACTATTTCTTCTCAGATATTGGTTGCCAGGAGACGGCTACAGAGCAGACCTGTCAAGGTATTTTGCTGACACTGCAGAACATGGCTGGTGATCAAGACATCAAAACTCTGAACCTCATGAAGCAGGTTTGAACATGCATGTACATGTAGCTCTCTTCTGACCATCACAGAGGTTTACTGATGACAAGACACAATGAGCTCTTTTAGTAGATGTACATATGAATACAGACTTTTCAATACAACTGCTCCATTCAAGTGATGTATTTCAATGTCAAGCCATTTACAGTGACTTTCAGTTTTGAAATGGTTCCCTGTTTCACAATGTCTCCCCTTTACAATGGCTCCCAATTACAATGGTTCCCCAATTACAATGGTTCCCCCACCATGGCTACCCCTATTACAATGGTTCCCCCACCTACATACAATGGCTACCCCAATTACAATGGTTCCTTTCTTACTCCCAGGTGTATGGACTTGTCCTCAGCTGTATGATGTACAGAGATGGGAACACTACAGTTGCTGCCATGGAAACCATGAACTCTCTTTTGCTGGCCTCTTCTCCAGCTCTTTCCCGCTGGCTGATGACGGCTCAACCTTCCCATGCACTGGCCTCTAAGTTCTGGATGATCACTAATGAGGGAGAGGTGGGAGGGGACGGACAAGATAGCAGACAAGAAAAACAAGACTCCAGTTCTGATGCCCACAGCCTCAGAGAGGTATTGTCGGATTTTTGTACTCGTAAACCAGTTATGCGCATCTATAATACACATTGGTGAAATTTTTGTACCTTGAGGCCACAGGATACGAAATGAATAATTATGGAAGTTTTATACTGGTCGGTATCCCCACATGGCGTATTTTCTGCGTGCAGCTCAGAATAGTCCACATCCTGTCGTACGGCAGACTTTTAGGGCTGACAACAGAAGTTGTCCAATGCGACATTCTCTGCCATTCTGCCCTCCTTTACCCCCTCTTGCCCTGATTGTCTCTTCAGGACATAAATGATGCCTACTTTGGCTCTGACCAGGAACCGTCTCCCCCGGCAACAGCGGAGTCGTCCCCAGTGACATCTGATGCAGGGTCGGCAGTGGTGCAGATGGGTTACTTTGCTGTCCGAGATGGACCAACTCAGCCTCTGTCAAGCCTAGTTCTGGTAGGTCCTCATGGTTTATGTATTGTGTCGAAAAGCCAAAGGGATATATAGCGTGTTTCAACAAAGTTACACTATTGTATCGACGGTCAATACAATGATGTAACTTTACTATATTATATTCCTTTGCCTCAATGTGTTGGTCACGTTTGTATATGAAATAAGTACACTCCAGTTCGGTTTCAGCCATGTGCTCAGCCATGTGCTCTTGGAGCGCGCTCACCTCCTCAGTGCATACTAACTTTTTCCGTGGATCCCCACCACCATTCTCCGTGTGGACTGACTTTCGTGGTGTGCACTGACTTTTTCAGTGCACGCTCACTTTCTCAGTATGTGCTCACCTCCTTGGTTCTATGACAACTATTCCACATGTCTTCAGTACCTGACAGAGAGTGTGCTGGTGGGGAAGAGAGTTAGCGCCTTGTCTGTTGGTCTAGCCTGTCTCACCTCCTGTGCCGATCTCGCTCCCTCCCTTCTGCCTTCTCTCTCCCCCTACCTTCCCTTCACTGTCCACCCAGACCCCAAGCTCAAGAGTCGGTCTGCTAAGGTATATATACATAGGAGGGGGCAGTGGGCAGTAGTGTATATTATGACTCTCTTTCTCCTTGGAATGTAGCTGCTGGCTGTGCTGCTGAGAGCACTTCTTAGGGAGAGTCGCGGGGAGGCATCTTCACCGCTGGTATCCGAGGCTGCCGCAGCACTGCACAGTGTCCTAACTGACAGTTCTCCAGTCGTACTAAAGGCCGTTTGCGAGAGTCTGCGTATATGTCTCCCTTCTCTGGCTGCTTCCTCCCAACCCAAGCTTGGTGAGTTTGCAACCACAGATGTACTGTGTGTCAACCTACACCTTCCCTCAGCTGTGGAGTTGGTGGAGCCTCTGTTAGCTGCTGCTTCTTCCTCGTCCTACTGGCTTGCCAAAGTGGAGCTGCTCCGCACGCTGGCCTGTCTTCCTCTCACAGCTCTGGCACTCTCCCTCCCCTCTCTCCCACACTCCCTCCTCTCCCTCTGTGTGTTTCCACTCCTGGGAGACACAGATCACAGGTTGGCCCTATGTCTCTCTCTCCCCTCTGACCCTGAGACTTGTCTTCTCTCTCAGAGTCAGAACTGCAGCTGCTGAGGCTGTTTCTCTCTTAGTTCCCAGCTTGCAGCTGACCTCTGACCAAGTCCTTGCCCACGCTCATTGGGAGGTGTCCCGCGAGTTCCCTCCGCTACACAGCTCCACACCACAGCTGTCCCTTGCCTCTGTTGGCATGCACAGCTGCAAGATCACTCCCCCAACCCCTCTGGGTCTGCAGCACTTCCTCTGGTTCTTGGTCTGTAACATCAGGTATGTTTCCCTTGTAGCACACTCCCACTTGCTTCGTGGAGCCATTTGACATGTTCTTCTCTGCAGTTCTTCAGAGAACCATTCCCTGCAGCGAGGCTGTCTGGAGGCTCTGCACATGTTGTGTTCCGTCTTTCCTCCTGCCAGCATGCCTCAGGCCTGGGGCTGTGACTGCCACATTCCCTCTCTCCTACCCACGACTCTTTCTCTGCTTACAGCATCCCAGCTGGCCTGGACTGTCCAGGGTATGCTTGGCCCTCTCCCTCCTCACTCATTATTCTTCCTCAACAGGGCAGCAGCAACTGCTTGATGTTAGCTCCTCTCTCTTCCTCTCCTGCTCGCTGTCAGCTATGGATCGACTGGTTCAGAGTGGCCAGCCCCCGTCCTCCTCTCCCTGGGCAGCGTTAGGTGACTCTGAGCTTTCAGCTCATGCGGCAGTTCTTCTCCGACATGTGGGGAGGCTGTTGGCTGTGTTTGTCCATGTGCTAGAGGGCAGGGAGCCGGAGACAAGAGAAACAAAGGTGACAACATACTCTCCCTTTTGACAGCATATACCAATATTACCTAGCATGATACCTAGTATTATACTGGGCTATGATGTCAGTTTCTGCATGTCCTCTCTACAGAGGATGGCAGCTGTGTCTCCCAAGAAGGCTGCGATGAGAGATTCATCTCCCATTCGCAGCAGTCCTGCTAAGCCAAAGGTCATCATTGAGAATCTTCAGAGGGCACCTCTCATACCTCGCGACGGGCTGGGTCAGTTTTCCTCCTCACAGCCTCACCTCAAGATTCTCGACACCTGCAGATCTGCGTACACCAATTATCAGGTCGGTACTCACATGCTTATTTGGTGGCAAAGTGTAAATGCATTTATGTAAGAAATGAAAAGCACTAAAGTGCAAACCCTCGGCGCTAAACGCGCGAGTTGTAGTATCGCTGTATGCTGGTGGACGACGGAGCCAGTAACACGAGTCTCCCCGTAACACAGGGTAGTTGGTTAGAGCAATTGCTCAGGTGTTTCAGAGGCTCTCATATTTGCTTTATTCAATCTATCTGCTCTTCTGTGCTCCAATGCTCTCGCCAGATGTTTTATAGATGGGAAGGCATGGCTGCATCCACAAACTGCTCGCCACCTGAACTATTGCGAATATACCTTGCTCAGCATGTTTATCCAAAGAGAAGCCTGTGGATCATACAACCAATGTGGCGTAGCGCATGCCCCGGCGGAAAATATGACGCGTGCGCATGTCGGAGAGGGCGCGTGCGCGATCGACCGCACGTTGGCTTTTTCGCTTGTTTTCATGCCATATCTCTGGAACGCAGTCGTTTCAGGAAAATCGCCACATTATTATCCATCTTCTCGTTGTTCACAACCCGTTGGTGCCACTCATTGGCCGCCTTGTAGCCTGTAGTGCGAGAACTCGCGCGGACAGACAGACAGACAGACAGAACGACTACCGTAACCCTCGCTGCGCATGCGCGCCGAGGGTTAAAAATAACCAATAGCGTTCACTGTGAATAGTTAGCAGTGAAGGTGGTGTGTGTGTGCAGGTGTCTCTAGCAAGAGTTGGAGAAGATAAGTTCTCTCGCCTTCTCCAGTCCACACACAACCTGACCACCATCCTCATGGAGGTCAGAACTTCCTTCCCTTCCTCTCTCTAGTCATTTCTGGGCTGCAGGTAGCTCTGGCTGCTGATGTCAGCAAACATGTGGAAGAGCTGATGAGCTATTTCACCATCACCTTCACAGTGGATCCGTCTGGGGCTCTGCTCTGTGTGCAGCAAGTAACACCTCAACTTGTGCTGTCTGTTCCCCAAACCAGTCCCTCTTATCTCTCTGCAGCTGCTGAATGCCTTGTTTGGGATGAATGCAGCAGCCCAGCACACCCCCATACACTCCCCTTACCTCTCCTCTCTCCCTTTTGAGCTTCACTCGCTGCAGAGGTGAGCTCACATGCTGAAGGACTAAGGCCTTCTCAGTATTGGTATATAATACCAGCATATATTGGACGGAACAGTATCTTACTCACGAATGTTACTCCTGGCAGAGCCTCGCCACTCTCTCCTTCCCCCACCCCCTTGTCGATGCCACGTTGTCACAGCCTTTGGCTGTCATGGAGCATTGGTTGGATGGCCCTCCCCCACACCCTCACCACTCACCGTCCTCCCACAAGTCTCCCTCTCTCCCTAGGAAGTGAGTCTCATACTCTGCTTCTCTTCACTCACATAATAATATTTTCTCTCAGGCAGCCCATGTTGTCGGGTCGAAGAGCTCTGGTTGTGAAGCCAGTCAATCCAGTCGTGAGCTTGCTCCGACACTGGCCAAACTTGTGTAATCTTTTTTCTCTGCAGTCTTCAGTGAAGGACTACATAGCACACTTTGAGCCTCTGGTTGTAAGTGTCGTGAAGAGGTTTTCCTCCACACATCGTCTCTCCTCTGCAACAGCGAACTCTCTTCCTCCTTGTTCAGCTGCTCCAGCCTCAAGGTCTCTCTCTCTCTTCTAACCACCTTCCTCTTCCCTCAACTCTCTGTGTATGTGCAGGTTCGGTATGAGCTGCTGGACTGCAACCACACATTTCTGGACTCAGTTTTTGAAGTGGTGGACTGATGGAAGTCTGGTGTAGTGAGGGATGGAGAAGATCTGGTCCATTCCTTGTTCCAATTCCTGGTCCTCCTTGCATATGACAACTCCCAGCTGGTCTCTATCCAGAGGTTTACTCTTTCTTTCACTCTTCTCCCAGTCTACATACTGCTGTCTCCTCAGGTGATGCAGAGGTGTGATGGTGTCATGGCCTCTGGACACTCAGTCGACACATTTGCTATTCCAGCCCCCAGCCACTGGTTTTAACCTGTTGTCCGGCCTGGAAAGGAAGGTCTGAGCTGGAGACTCAGAGAGAAGTGGTGTCCTGAGCATGCTTGCTGCGGGTCATTGACCCTCGCGAGTGATGTCCCTCCTGACACATGTTTTGGACTGCTTCAGTCGCTCTTCCAGCCATTGGTCACAGAGTGAGTCTCTCCTCTTCCGCCCTGCAGTCCCGTCAGGTTCTTCATGTCTCCAGGTCTCAGGCCAGATCCTGCCTCTCTCCTCAAGCTGTTGCTAGACTCTCTCTCGTTTCATGGACTCTGCTGAGCTCCATGGCAACTCTCGACCACTGTGTTTTCTGCCTATGGATCTTCAGCTCTCTCTGTGACGGTAGGAATTCATACTCTCAGTACATGCCTTGTCGTGGTGTACATAGCGTTCTATACTATTCCACCTCCATTATAGCCGACAGTATTATTAGGGAAGGTATGGTCCCCCAGGATACATGTGATACCGAGAGAATTCCGAGTACTTAGTGTGTGTGTTCTGCAGCTTTGTCTTTTTGTGTGTCAATGCTACAGCAGCAGTGCCGGAAGGACCCCGGCAGCTGTGTCGCTGGCTGGCTGTCCCCAAACAGCTCTCACTCTCATGAGAGCCTACTTCCCAGAGTCAACCTTTCCATCTTGTGTTTATCTGCAAATGTTTGACTGAGGTGAGCCGCCCATCCTGAATCTATCGCAAACGTGACCCCTGCCCTAGTTCTATTACACTGACGGTGCCTGCCGTGAAGCGTGAGTGAGGAAGTTGACGTCCATGGAGCCACCGCCTCACATCTCGGCATGACGATGCGGCTCCATCCACCAGACTGGCGTAGGGTTCCTGCTGCAGTGTCAGATGAGAGTGACAGTTGAGACTCAGTTGCAGCTAAAGTGTCTGTCTGGCCCTCATCCCCAGCCTTTACTGCCGCATCTGCTTGGTCGCTATCTCCTCCTTCTCTCCTCTCTCCTGTCTGGTCTGTCACATTGAATATTTCTCTGTACAGGGAAGATTAGTCCATCTGTGAAAGTTGTTACATACCATTTGTACAGTGAGACACGTGAGAGTTGGATTTATTCTTGCAAGTGTTACACCTGATGATATTTATCTCTTCAGGGGAATATGAAAACCTGAGAATGGCCCTGACGTCTGTGTCTTTCCCACTCTCCCTAACTTCAGCCTTCCTCTCCCTCACCCCTTCCTACCCTCTCCTCACCCTCCATTACTACCATCTTTCCCTCCTCACTGGAGGACGCAGTTTGGTTGGTTTACCCTTTTCCTCCCCTCCATCTTCCCCTCCACCTCATCCTTCTCGTCCTCAGGTCTTCTCAGCTCTCCAGGTGTGCAGTGCGTCTCAGGCTCCCAGCCATCGTCTTCTCTACCACTGTCTCCTGCCACTGCTGTCTTGCTCTGGCACCTCTCTCATGGACACTGTTCCAACCACACTCATCGACAGGTACAGTGTTGTTCAGTCCCTCATTTTGTGGCTCACACATCCATCTCTCTGAAGAGACAGGACCACTGAAAAGGATACACTAATAGAGCAGCTGATGAACTCTGACTTCTCCAACCCTGTTGCCTGTATGCATGCGCTGCAGTTGGCGAGGGACGAAGGCTCAGTGCGGGTCCTCCCGTTGCTTTGTCGTCGCCTCGTCACTCATCCCTTCTCTTCCATCAGCTCACCAGCAGCCTCTCTGGCTGGTAGGATCATGGCCGGTCTGATACTGCTTCCTCGTGTTATGTGACTGTTTCAGTTGTTGTATTTACCAGATAAGAAGGTCAGCAGTGACTTAGCTCGAGAGTTGCTGCCATTTCTGAGTGGTGCTGGCAACAGGTTAACACACTGTTTTTTGTGGTGTATGTACGTGTAGTAAAATTCTTGTTCAGTCAATTATTTTTCTTTTTGTTAGCGTGCATATTGCATTTTGTACACTCATGTTTTACTGAGTGATTTCTACGGTACTACAGGTATCCAGAGTGCTGAGTACAACACAGAGGTGGCAGATGTTCCTTCACCGGCTCCTCCCCAAAGCAGTTCCTCTCACCCTCTCCAGTTCACCTCGCAAGTGCAGGCCGTAACCAGAGTACGTACAATGTACCTAATGCTGACAAAGCTCTATGCCACAGACCTCTATCCCCAGCTGTGGTTCCTGGCTGAGGTGCATGATCTCTGTCGTAACAGCTGCTCCGACTGGCTGTGTGGCAGGGTTCTCGCAGACTCTCGCTCTCTGAGCTCTCTGATCTCCTCCAAAATCCTGATATATCCAAAAGGTTGGTCTTCAGGTTCTACAGCCAGAGACACTGTTTCTGTTCAGGGATTACTGGAGGCTGGTGTGTCCCATGGACTGGAAGTCTCCCTCTATTCTCTCCCCAAACTCCTCACCCTCTGCTACAGGTGTCATCCCGCTAACTTCCACTCTCTCCTAGTCTAGTCATTATTGCAGCCTCCTCTGCCAGGTACTTCTGGACCAGTTGCGTGATCAAAGTAAGGTCAGGTGACTCCCAGTCTCATCCCCTCTCTCTGGCTTCTGCTGGCACAGGAACCTTACGCTCCCGAGTACAGTCATTACCTCCTCAGGACGAGCAGCCGTCAGCTCAGTGCTGGCTGCATACTGGAGCTGCAGCAGAGAGACTCCACACTGTGATGCAGACATCCATGGCTGTTTATCTCTGGCCCTCTCTCTCCGAGCAATCAGAGTGGTATTGATGCTGACTGGCTAGCAACACTGTGCCTCTGTGGTTGCTCTTGCAAAAGGTGGTCACAGTGTACATCTGAATGTGTATGCACTGTGTGCATGGTGTTGTTCAGCTCTACTGCGGAGGCCGGCAGGCTGATGGTCTCCTCACAGACAGCACACCTGCCACTGACCACAGTCCTACCCACAGTCTGAGCCTTCCCTGAGGCTGCACACTGGCACAGCTCTCTCTCCTTGCCCGCCTCCCGTCCCTGCAGCTGCTCATCCCTCCTCTCCTCCTTTCTCCAGGCAGCCAGTCACCTTCGGCGCAAGTCTCGGACCAGGCTCTTCTGAGGGAGAGGTGAGCGGTCTCCTTTCTCTGTCACCTCTCGTCTGGTTGAGCTACAGGTCTGCAGACAGTATTATGGCCGTAGCAACACGTGGTTGGCTGATCGGGCCCAGTTCGAAGAGAGATGGATGCCAGCTGCTGGGAGTGTCACCAGCCGTACCCCTGCACAGAGGTACTTTGTAGGTATCTGGACAGTGAATATCCCTGACGTCAGTTCTGTATAATGCGTGAGCTAATTCATGATGGTAATAGGGAATGCCAGTGGAGGAGATGTATGCGCACACACTCAACATGTGTATTGGTCTGGTGGGTGTGGTCTCCCTCCTGCTGGCCACCAGTCTCTGCCCACAGCTGGCAATCCTGTGTTTGGTGTTCCTCGCACACTCACCGCAACAGAGACATCTGTTCACGGAACAAAGTAGTCGTCAGTTCTTCTGTGTTATAGTGATAGTAACTGTTCCACAGGCCGGGAAGGCGTTTGAGGAAAGTGCCGCTCAGTGGTTGAAAACCCAGCTCCTCTTGCAATGTGGGGCTAGACCAGACATCTACAGCCACTACCAGTACCCCTCTCTCCCACCTCTCCCTCCCTCTCTTCACCCGCCAATGTTGAGCGTGGACTGGGGGAACTGAGCTGGGGACCTGCACAGCTGTCTCTCAAGAGCCTGTGGCCAGGTCACTTTGGCCAACCCCACCAGTCCAGGTGTGGCACATTCTTAATGCTATTCTCTGGACATAGCCTTGTGTGTAGCCCGTCACTCACCAGATGGGGTGGATGTGAGGTCGTGTGTGCTGGTCTCTGGTGGACCTGTTTCCCACTGCTGGGCCAGCCCCTCCACCCTCTCTCCTCCTCCACACACTCAGAGCCATACTTATGCTCTCTGATTCTTCTTCCCTGGTATGTACCTGTGGTAGTACTATGGTGGCATGTTCACTTCTCTGTAGCCTTCCCAGTTTCAGTGGATGCTGGAATTGGCGTGTGACTTGAGTGATAAGCAACCACCAGAGGATGTGGCTTGCACGCAATACGCATTGCAATGTATACTGAAGGCAGGGGGCTGTTTTGAAAGTGGTGAGATTGCCTGCAAGTACTGCTGCTATTTGTCAGTCGTGTAGGATGCTGTTCAGTTGGAGGAGAATAGTGAGGAGTACTGAAAGAGCTCTGTCATCAGACTCTCTGGAAGTCCAGGTGAGTCTCTTTTGTTGGAACTGCAGTGCACTGCCCCTCCCTTCACTGTTCAGGATGGGTGTCTTTGTGGACTGCTGTATGTTGTGGAGGATCCTGGCAGCCAGCTTGAGGCTCACCTTGCCGCTCCCACTGGCCAAGTACCTGCCTCCCCAGCTGGAGTCATTTCACAGGTGAGGTCATCTAACTGCTGAGTGTGGATTGGAGAGAGCAGCTCCCAACCTCCAGGCTATCTGAGCAACACTGCACTTTGTGCTGGAGTCTGGCTGTGTCTTGGCTCTGCACCACTCACACCTCCTTAAGTCAGTTATTCCTCCTCCTGAAAAGTCGGTTCTGCATTTTCGCCTGCCTGTGCGTGGTTTGTAGGGATGCAGAATTTCCCGGGCAACTGCTGGAGAAGGCAATCCTCTTTTTTTGCACCCACACACATCACCACTTCTCTTCCACTCACTGTGCTTTGGCTGGAGCTCCTGTTCTCAACTCACTCTTTCTAATGAGCAGAGGTCACAAAGTCACTAAGGTCACTGCTGGCAGGTCTGACGTGCTATCAATATTTTTCCAAGTTTAAGAAGTAGTAATCTTCAAGGTGTGCAAAGTGTGAATTGGACAAAGTTTGCCAGAATTGGTTTGTTGCATGTCATGCATGTATTCAGGTATGTTTTATATACTTATTATAATGATTGCTTTAGCACCAGTGTATTTGTTGTGTAGGAGAGCAGGGGAACTATGTCAATGAAGATGAGGAGACTGAAGCTGCAGTTGAGATGTCAGTTCTAACGAGAGAGTATGTGGGGATACTGGTGGAGCAGTGAGTTTCATTGCCTCATAATTCCACACTCATCTCTGCCTTTCCTATACACACCAGTCTGCGACATAGTCCATTGGAAGGAGTCAGATTCCTGGTGGGTGTAGTTCCAGTTGTGATGGTGGACTTCTTGCCGCCAGTCCAGGTCCTTCAGATGGTAGTCACTGAGTTTGTGAGTCCCCACCAGCCACGACCTTCACTGGCCGCCATCGTCATGGGAGAGGTAAGCTCCAGGTCATAGTATTATGCAGGTGTTACATTTTGTTCTGCAAAGACCTTCTCTTTGGTGTTGGGGAAGAACATGGGAGACACACTGACTGATTGGGTCCTACTGTCTCTGGACAGTTTTGTTCAACAGTAGGTGCTCAAGTGAAGTATTATGTTGTGACAGTGTCAAGATTACACAGGGAGCCAGAGAAAAAGGCAGTTTGGTGTTTAGTGTGTTTGTTAGCTGCAGCCTCTTCATCCTCCATCCTTCGAGCTATGTATGTGCATAATTTTCTTTCAGAAGTAGAGTTGTATGCTGCGTTTACCAGGCTTGAAGTTGTTGCTGATCAACCAAACATGTGTCTTTCACATATGCAAATTCTCTTGGCAACAACATCATTCTATTTCTGCTCAACCCAAGCAAGTTGCCTCTCCTCTGCCTTATTATTATCTTTCCAATCTATTAGGTGTCAACCCAGCAGCAAAAGGTGTTTATAGACAAGTTTTTGTCGTCCAATTATCCGACACTCAATGCAGTAGCGCATGCTTGCCTTCATTCCATATAGCAAATAGCTTAACTTGTACGTCGTAATAATGTGTAATTTGTACCAAAGACATTGACTATTGTTCGAGATTGGAATAGCAAAACTCTCTAAACACTTATTTTTGCAATTTCCTTTTTTACCAACAAGGGTTTGAACAGTTTTGCATTTGTTGTATGCACATGAGTAAACGAAATGACAAACCAACAATGCCTAACACTTCGACTATAATTGAAGGGTGGAATAGCAAAACTATCTAGCTGTACCCAAACACTGATTTTTCTAGCAATTTCCTTCTTTGCCACCCTTTCCAACAAGGGTTTGAACAGTTTTGCATTTGTTGTATGCACATGAGTAAACGAAACGACAAACCAACAATGCCTAACACTTTGACTATAGTTGGAGGTTGGAATAGCGATACTATCTCGCTGTACCTAAACACTTGTTTTACTTGCAATATCCTTCTTTACCACCCTTTCCAACAAGGGTTTGAACAGTTTTGCATTTGTTGTACGCACATGAGTAAACGAAACGACAAACCAACAATGCCTAACACTTTGACTATAGTTGGAGGTTGGAATAGCGATACTATCTCGCTGTACCTAAACACTTGTTTTCTTGCAATTTCCTTCTTTACCACCCTTTCCAACAAGGGTTTGAACAGTTTTGCATTTGTTGTACGCACATGAGTAAACGACACGACAAACCAACAATGCCTAACAGTTTGACTATAGTTGAAGGGTGGAATAGCAAAAACTATCTCGCTGTACCTAAACACTTATTTATCTTGCCTTTTCTGTCATCACCACCTGACATGGCATGTATACAAACACAATTGTTTAGTCAGAACTATAGCACAAGAAGAGAATGTGTTGTATATCTGCAAAACAAGAAAAAGCCAGAAACAATCTCCGAGGGGTTATCCCCCAGAGATGGTTTTTGTCCCTTATGTTTATAGTGGGAGGACTCATCAGCTGGCCCCACTCTATTATTACTGGACACACAAAACAGTATGGTTTGTGCCTGGCTCTTCCTATTACCATTGTGTGTGTGTTAAACAGAATCCAGTAATTACCTTACTACTTCAATTATTGATGATCTGCTCTGGTTATGAGAGAGAGTGCCTAGTGACTGAAGTGAATTACACTGTTAGAACAACAGAGGTAAAGAAAAGTTTCAGCGCCATCTCAGGAGCAGTCTTATACCTGCAGTGAAAAGGTTGGGTCTTCACAGGGAGACTCCACGTACATATTCAGAGCATATCAGAAGAGTAGCACAATTAGACATCACACCTTGCACATAGACAAAAAATCTGGCATTGTTATAAGGCTAAACCTACATGTGGCGATCAGGCTCAACCAGATACAAGGGGTTTGCCAGGAAAGGTGAAGTGGACGTTGCATGAGACTTACACCATGACATCAACTGGACAGTGTTGACTATGAAGTAAGAGAGAATTAGGTGAAGTGCGGTAACTACAACAATAGAGAGAGCCAGCAATGCCAGGATAAGGCCAAGCTGTTTTACATAATTATGTAAGCTTATCAGAAGCCAGGTTGAGACAAAGGAGGGGTTAATTAAGTTGCAACCAACCAGCCACAGCTGATCATTGGGCAACAAGCAGTTGTATTAGCATACAAAAAATGTGGTTGAAGCTGTTACCTGGTTGCTCACCAGATGCAGAGAGATAACCAGATGCATACCATGACAAGACCTTGTAAGACACACACAATCTTGTGTCATGTTTATGGTTCACTTCTGAAGTAGGGTGCACATAATAATTCACCATTAAAACGCACCATTAGGCTATTTGTCAATAGCATCTCATCATGTGCGCACCCGTAACATATACCAAGGCGAGTAAAAGCAAGTGCACTCTCAAATACTCCAACAGCATTAACTTACATGGATATCCAGTGTCTATGTAGCTGAATCCATCATTCACAACAGCTACAGCTTGAGCAGAGGGGCTTCCAACCATGCCTGCAAGAGTAAAAAAAGTACAGAAAATTACCTCATGTACAGCGGTGAAAATTCGTAAGCCACAATTTACAAAAATTATTCAGACCAACTGAAATTTTTATTAGAGCCAGTGGAATAGTTCTGGGGTCAAGGAATTAGGCCCATGATACAACATGGTGCTGAATGAAATAATTGGTGTGGACACTATGAAAAACTCATTGCTGAACACTTTAGAACACTGCTGTTCTGGATAAACGTAAATATCTACTGAATAGAGAGGTACATACCACTGCCTATGAACAAGAGATCCTAACTGAATGTGTGAAACATTCTGGTTAACACGAGGGGAAACGAAACACCAGCTACCTAAAGACAACAGGCAGTTCTATACATACATCAAACATATCAAAATATAGGAAGGGTTATAGTAAATGGCAAAATTTGACAGTCCAAGGCACCTTGATGCATTATAAAGACCATGTGCCTTAAAATCAAGTCTGTAAGACTGTATATATCCATGCTGACAAATTCCAGGCGACCGACCAGTCTCAAACAACACAAGGAGGTTGGTGAAGTGACAAGCCTGCGGTTGCACAACATGTGTTGAACTTACAGAGTGACCGGAGTTACTGTTGCTGTCATTGACCAGAACTACATAGAAAACCATATTAGGTGGTGTAGGAATAGAGCAGAAGGCCTTGAGTTTGTGAGTAACATACATCTCTTAACCAGGTTGCAGCTGTTACCTGGTGGGTCACCAGATGGAGAGAGACAACTAGACACTGTGACAAGACCTTGTAAGACTTAATTTCATGTCATGTTTGTGGTTCACTCCTGGAGTAAGGTGCAGCCCTGAATATCCTTCATTGGCTCAGGAGGCCATAAAGTTTTTCAAATATCCAGTGCCTATGTGCTTCTCACAATGCACATGAGTAAACGAAAGGACAAACAAACAATGCCTAACAGTTTGACTATAGTTGGAGGTTGGAATAGCAAAACTATCTAGTACCTAAACACTTATTTTTCATTCAATCTCCTTCTTTACCACCCTTTACAACAAGCGTTTGAACAGTTTTGCATTTGTTGTACGCATATGAGTAAACGAAACGACAAACCAACAATGCCTAACACTTCGACTATAATTGGAGGGTGGAATAGCAAAACTATCTAGCTGTACCCAAACACTCATTTTTCTAGCAATTTCCTTCTTTACCACCCTTTCCAACAAGGTTTTGAACAGTTTTGCATTTGTTGTACGCACATGAGTAAACGAAACGACAAACCAACAATGCCTAACAGTTTGACTATAGTTGGAGGTTGGAATAGCAAAACTATCTAGCTGTACCTAAACACTTATTTTTCTTGCAATTTCCTTCTTTACCACCCTTTACAACAAGGGTTTGAACAGTTTTGCATTTGTTGTACGCACATGAGTAAACGAAACGACAACCAACAATGCCTAACACTTTGACTATAGTTGGAGGTTGGAATAGGAATACTATCTTGCTGTACCTAAACACTTATTATTTATCTGGGGAGAGATAATAATAAAATGGACCATTAGGCTATTTTCCAATAGCATCTCATCATGTGCCACCCGTAACATACATAATATACCAAGGCGAGTAAAAGCAAGTGCACTCTCAAATACTCCAACAGCATTAACTTACATGGATATCCAGTGTCTATGTAGCTGAATCCATCATTCACAACAGCTACAGCTTGAGCAGAGGGGCTTCCAACCATGCCTGCAAGAGAAAACAAAGTACAGCGGTAAAAATTCGAGACTCCACGTATATACATAATTATTCAGAGCATATCAGAAGAGTAGCACAATTAGACATCACGCCTTGCATATAGACAACAAGTCTGGCATTGTTATAAGGCTAAAACTACATGTGGCGACCAGGCTCAACCAATACAAGGGGGTTGCCAGGAAAGGTAAAGTGGACAAGTCTGATGTTGCATGGGTCTTACACCATGACATCAACTGGACAGAGCGTTGACTAGGAAGACAATACAGTAAGTGGCAGATAAGGCAAGCTGTTTACATAGCTTATCAGATAATTGTGAAGCCAGGTTGAGAATACGGAGGGAAACCCACCAGCCAAGGTTGCAGAATTCTGGTGTGTAGGGGAGATTTTATTTATCACAAATAAGGGATAAACAACAGAAAATGGTTAGACATACTAACAGGTTGCAGCTGTTACCTGGTTGCTCACCAGATGCAGAGAGATAACCAGATGACAGGACCTTGTAAAGCACACAATTTTGTGTCATGTTTGTGGTTCACTTGTGAACATAGTCATTCCCAATTAAAATGCACCATTAGGATATTTGTCCATAGCATCTCATCATGTGCGCGCTCCTAACGTAATACCAAGGCGAGTAAAAGCAAATGTGCAA